GGGAAGGACCATTCGTTGTTGTCGATGTCATACACCCCACCACGTATGTATTGCGCGATGCTTCACGCCCCGACGGACCCACCTTCACCACCCACTTCGACAAGCTAAAACCCTATAGAGGGCGACTACCCACCGCCACCGCAGACGTAACCCCCATCATTCCCCCATATTTAGTTCCCACCCCAGTGGTTGAAGAAACAGTGGACATGACCCAGCCAGACAGCCCTGCGGACAGGGCTCCATCTGAGGAGGGGGGTATGTAAGAACCGAAAAGGCAAGTTTGTTTAAAAAGAGAGGAAGAACGGGCGAGCGGGAAAAAAAAGGAGGCGGGAGGTTTCGTGCCGTGGTTTGAGTGCGCCTTCTCTCTGGTGTTTCAGGTGAGGACGGCGAACGTGAACAAGGAAACACCCAAAACCCCGTGGATGTCGTACCTCCGAGGCCACCCACCTGACCAGCAAGTGTTTCCTCTTCCCTCCTCTACCCCCTGAGACTTTCCACGTTCTTGATCCCCCCTTGTCCTCTCGTTTTCGTATCTCTCCCTTTTCCAATATATCGTTCCTGTTACATTCTCTTTGACTGTTCGAACCACTTCTGTAGGTTGTGCCGTTGTCTGGTCGTCTGATGGCAAGATCTAAGCCCAACCGTTCAGGAAAGAGGAAAACGGCCCCGTCCCCATCTCCTTCTACCGAGTCGGTCGACGTAAGTCCGATACCAGACCCCCAACTGAAACCCCAGTGCGGTCCGCCTACTACAGCTGGTTGTCAGTCTATCTGGCCAGCTCTAAAGGGGCGGTCGCACAGTTCCTACGTATTTTTCAGGAGGCTTACCATCGTTGTCTGGACTAAGAGCTGGAAAAGATGAATATATATCAGGAGTAAGAAGCATTCAATGGTAAGTCACAATTAAAACTGTCAAAATACTATTCAATCATGTATCATATTTTTCTTGTTAATGTGAAGTTATAGGAGTAGTGGTCGACTGTTTACTATGACCTAATATAGTTCTATACATGTTTAATATGGCTTTAATATAGACATACGCACGTCTAATATGCAGGGTTTTATCGAAGGTTATATTTTTATTAGCTTTATAAGGGATATTTAGTGTCAGGTGACATAGCTGATAAAAACGAGAAAGGGAGGAAAATAGAAGAATATCATTATCTGTTCTATGTTTATCAATGATGCTATCTTTTATAAATTTGATTATTTTTAGTGCTATGTTCCGGTATTTTTCAATCGGCTGGCATCATCAGAGCCCTTGTGGACCAAATTCAATATCAAAGAATTGACTTGAAAAATGTCCTATCTTATTCAAAAATAAATGTGTATTGTTATTTGAAAGGAATTCCTTAGTTTTTATTTTAAATTCGATTAGGGTTCGACTTTTCCGGATATAACCTGGAAGAGAATTCCAGATAGTCGCATATCTTATGCTGTAGAAATTTGATCGTTGGGACTTTGTGAATTTGGGAATCTTTATAATATCCTCGCTATTTCTGGTGTTTCTAGGGGCGTTTTGGTTGGTAAGTAAATTCATTTTGAGAATATCTTGATCGTGGGTGACCTTGAATAGGAAGTTTAGGCCATTTTGAAGTCTTCTGATCCAGAGTGGTCGAAGACCGTATTTATGATATTGTTCTAAGTATGAACCCTGGATGCCATCACTTCTAGACAAAGATCTAGTAAACCGTCTCTGAATGCCTTCTAGTTTCTTTCGGCCGTCTGAGGGCATTATGCCGAAGAAAACTGAACAGTAATCTAGGAGAGGTAAAACACACATTTTGAACAATTGTATTCTTAGTACATTTAAGGTGAAATGTTTACATATGAATCCACACAGGCGAGTGGCTTTCGGTGATATTTGTTGGACGTGGGGAGATAAATCAAGGGTATTTGTATAGCTGAGACCTAAATCTTTTACAGATTGGGCCTCTGTTATTTCATCATCCTCGAATATTATGGGGGGAAGTTTTTGTGGGCCAAATATCAGGAGATGGCATTTTTCGGGTGAAAAGGGCATCTGCCACTGACTACTCCATTCGCTGAGTTTTCTGAGATCAGTTTCAATTGTTCTATGAATATTGGCTACTGTATTCCCGTTATATGCATATGCAATTTTAAGGTAGTCCGCATATAAAAACGTCTTAGCTGAGACAGATATGGACGATAAGTCGTGAATATATATAAGAAATAGAAGGGGGCCTAGGATAGTGCCTTGAAGTACTCCACTGGTAATAGGGGATGGTTCTGAAACGACGTTTCGAATTTGCACCACCTGGTATCGGTTTTGAAGATAAGATTTAAGAAAATCAAGAAGGGGTGGCCTAATTCCATGACTTTTTAGCTTTATCAGTAGTCTTTTATGGGGGACTTTGTCAAAGGCCTTTCTTAGATCGAAGTATATTGAAGCTACTGTGTTTCCATCATCTCTATTGCTGGAAACGAATTCCAAATATGTAAGGTGGCAGGACTGACATGACTTTTTGGGCAAAAATGCATGTTGAGAGGAGGGAATTAGGTTGGCGTTCATGAGATGGTCTAGCAATTGGTTATATAGTATTTTCTCGAGGATTTTAGCTATAGCGGGTGTTCGGTGAACACCACGATAGTTTTTGGTATGAGATCGGTTGCCGCTTTTAAATATGGGCGCAATGGTCGAGTATTTCCACATGTCCGGAAAAATTGCATTTGACTGGAGTATGGTGAATAACTTAGATAGGAGTATTGGAGCATATGTCATATGCTTCAGAATACATGGTGGGATTTTGTCTGTCCCATAGGATTTGGTGTTTGATAGTTGTTTGATGGCTACTTTAACAGTTTCTTCACTAAAATGGATCTCACTAAGGATGCGTTCAGTCATCTCGGTCGGTTGGGGGATGGTCCCATCTTCAACTGTGTAGTTAGCTGAGAAGTATCTGTTGAATAAGTTTACTATTTGTTTATCATTGGTTATAACTTGCCCTAATTCATTAATAATAGTTCGTGGTCCTGACTGTCGATGATTACTCATTAGTTTCTGAAACATCTGAGCTGTTCGTTCGGGGGATTCTAGTGCCCGAAGTTCTGCTGCTATGGTCTTTTGTGTTTCCATTTTCGTGACTAGGTCGTGAATTTCCCTAATTCGTCGAAGTGTGGAAAAATAACTCACAGAGGGGTCGCGTAGCTGTTTTTGTGGCTTTTTTGGTTTAGTTGAAAGGAAGTTCGGGATTGGTGATTTCTTATACGGGAGTCTTTCGTCTATCAAGGTATCTCGAATTACAAATAGGACAGAGTACAATAGGTTAACTGCTTCCATAGGGGATGTTGTAAGAAGATATGGGCTCCAGTCCAATGATCTAATATAGTTGTTCATGGAGTCCTCGTCAAGTTTTTTTTGGGTTTAGGCGGGTGTTACCAAAATGGGGTGCTAGTTTTGCGTTTAAGGGGAGTGTTTATATTATTGCTTTGTGGTCACTTTCAAAGGTTGCGCAGTCGTAGTGCATACAGAGGGGCCAGATATCGTTGGTGAAAATAACGTCTAGTATATTGTTTCCTCGGGTGGGTTTGTCAACTATCTGTGTCCAGTTATTAAAGATAATTGAAGACAAGAATTCTTCGTGCCTGGTAGGTGCTGATAATTCGACCCAGTCTATTTCTGGGCGGTTTAGGTCGCCTGTAATTATCTTATATTCAGTTTTTATGTTAGCTATATTGCTTATTAAGAGGTTGAGGCTTGTGTCATCACTACTACATTCTGGAGGGGAGTAGAGGCATCCGACTAGTATGTTTTCCTGGGCATGAGATTTTATTGTGGCAAAACACGCATCTCCAGAAAAGGTTTCGGTTGGGACATCAATACCACTTTGCTCAATGGTAGTTTTGATGTAGATAAGACAACCTCCGCCTCGTTTATTAACACGGTCCTGTCGATAGAAATTATAATTTGGGACATAGTGAAGCATTCGATATAAGCTCATTTGCCCATGTTTCTGTAATGCAAATTACATCGGGGTTATATATTTAAACAAAAGTTCTAAGTTGGGATATTTTGTTGACAATCGATCTGGAATTTATAAGAGCTATCTTTAGGATGTTGGATATGGAAGAGGTGGGCTCTGGTGAAAAAAAGGATTTCTGGGGGTACTTTGAGTGAGTGATGGACTAAATGGAGGTAGGTGTGTGATTCTCGGAGGATATGGTGATGCGTATGGCGTAGTGTGAGTGCATGGGCTAGTGTGTATGGACTGTGGGTACATATGGGGAGGTGCGTTAACTAGGTGGTAATTGTACCTAAGTGGAGTTTCAGTTGGGGAGGCGTAAAAGCCAAAGTAATTTGAAGGGTTGTAATTAGGTGGTAAGGAGTTTGGAATGCTAGAGTGATTTGGCTTATTCCTATGCCATGCAGGTGGATTTTGGGGAGTCGAGATGCGGTTATAGAAGCTTGTTTGTTTTTGTTATTTGCCTTATTTAAGTCCACGTACAGGTCAGTTTTGACTGACCCGCCTACTTACCCCTTCCTGAGATCTGTTGAACAATGCCATATACAGCTGAAATTTATATCTGCCTTGTCGATGTCCGATTATAATCCATTATATAACCGCCGCAGGCAGGTCGGTGCTGCCCGCATTTTTCTGTTATTGCTTTTTTATCGAGGAGTTTTTTTTCTCCTGTAAAATTAATTAAATCATTTTTAAATTTTCGAGTGGAGTTTTTTTTCATCTCTCGGTAATCATTTTTCTTAACGGACTACTAATTCAAAACTATGAATTGCACTTTGTACAGATTTTGCCTACCTCGTCTAAAACTGTCATGTACATTTATTTTTACCTGCTTTGATGGGACCCCTATTGGTCTTTATAAACTATTATTATTATACCCGACTCCAAATTCTTTTCTGTAAATAATGTCGACAATAGGCCTGTTGATCGAAACACACTAGATATTATACTATTGAATGTCGTGTCTGTTATAAACAAGATGGCCCAAATCAGAGTCATTACTATCCAAAGGACGCCTGGTAATATATGTGTACCAGAATCTTGGATCCATTCTCTAATTCCTGACACTATCCTTTTTAGTTAGTGTATTTGAGGAAAATAGGCCTACGCCTTTGAACTCCCTATTTTTGCATAAATATCGAGAAAAAAAGGAGAAAGTATGAAAAAATTACTGCATTAAGCCAATGCAGACACCAGTTCACATAGGTCACTGGTTTTATGCTTACAAAGTCGCATAGTCTGCTCGTTGCCGCAGTATATGTCCATCCAGCCGGCCTTTAAATGCCTTCACAGATTGAGACATATTAATCGTCTCGGGCAAGTTATTCCACGGTCCTACGACCCGGTTGGAGAAGAAAATACTTTCTCAAATTCAATCTACCTTGGGCACACGTAGTTTGACAGAATGTTCTCGTAGGCAAGTTGTAATGGAGAGTTGTAAAAAGTCATCGCAACGGAGGGCAAAGCCCAAGTCACGTACGATACGGAAAGTTTGTATTAAGTCTCCGCGCAACTGCCTATAACGCACAGGATAGAGATTAAAGTTGTTTAGGTGGATCTTGTATGGTAGTGAACCTTGAATTCTTACCGATTTTGTTGCTCGCCTCTGCACCCTCTCGAGCAGATTGCAATCCCGATGCATTTACGACCTAGAGGCCTGAATTTCGTTTTTAAGATGCGGCCTTACAAGAGTGCCGAAGACTCTGGAGAATAACTTTTTCATCCGAAAGTACGAATATCCGCTTGATGGCGTATAGCATTGAAGTTACGGCCTTAGCCGCCTTACAACCTTGTGTAGAAGGCTTTAGGGTGTCCGCAACCCGGACTCCGAGGTCCTTCTGCGTTTTTGCTTCTCGGAGTGACATTCCGTTCAGATGGTATCACCGCGTACTAGGGGTCTGATTTTCGAAGCGCAGAATTGTGCATTTGTGAAGCATTCTGGGAATAGCTTATTCTTCAAAATTATGAGGCCAAGGAGATTGGCAGGACAAAAAGACATGAAACTACACTTGGATGATGAAAACTCCATCTGCCCTGTTGAACTCCAGCTGATTAAGCGTAGTAAATCGACATTAATTTTTCCAACACAATCTTTTGCTGTGTCCTTAGAACATTAATAAACACATTTGAGGTCATCGGCATAAATAATGTTTACGACTTGCTGACTTCAGTCGCAATATCACTGATGTAATTAAGGAAGGACTTGCATAGACATTTGCGGAATAAATGTAAATGTGCAAGATATACAGGAAGACCGTGTAACCAGTGCACCTCGGAGAGTTCCGTCGTCCACAAATTGCGGTCAAAAATGCATCCAGCATGCACGGAATGAATGTGAATACGGAATTATCCGACAGGCTGAACAAAAGCCGAAGAGTGTATCTCACTGTATAAGCAAATATCTGGAAATCAAAGTCCCGGTCTCAGTCCTGGAGGATGATGATGTTGTAAATGATAATGATTTTTATTTAATGCCAGTTCACAGGCATTGTCAAGGAAGCGTTAAACACAAATCCGGCCAGCAGTGAAAGAAAAACTCATATGGGAAAGGAATAGAAATATAATTGATGGATTTTATGGTCTGGAGGGTTCAGGAAAAAATTAATGCTGGCGGAAAACTTTTGACCGTTGTAGTGTAAATGGCAAGTAAACTACAAACAATAATAAATATTTAACTCTAAGTGGGGGGTGCTGCGTTTCTTACCAGAAAAATGACAATAGCATAATGAGTATAAGAAAAACGACGAAAGGTAAATAATCGTACAGACTCACGATAAATAAAGCCTTCTCCACAATCATTGGCCGTAGGGTGAATGTGCTGGGTAAAATCCGATACGAAGTCAGCGAATGAGGCTTGTCGCCCAGGTGAAATTACGTCCAGTTAAATATGGCCAAAAGATATAAAAGTTTCGTGTCGATTGACTAAAAGCGACTGACGCAAATGAGTGCAATCAACGAAACAATGACACCAAGCTGCAGACGGACACAAAAGTCAAGCTTTTTCACAAGTCGAAACCAGGTGTGTGTATTTTTGCTGATTTAAACAACAGTACAGAAACGTTCAGGTGTACAAGAAATTTTTAGAGTGAAAAAAGAAGATGTGCGTAAACCTACTCAAGTCCCCCACCAGAGCGTTAGTTCTACAAAAAAAACGCTCGATAAAAAAATGCAAAAAGTTACTCCAAATGTCTTTGAGTTTGGCAGGGAAATGGATATGTCTACCAGAACGAGATGAGGTGCGTGGTTGAATGAAAGGAAAATCAGAATGGGTGGGTGGGGTGGTAGAGTGTGGTGGTTCCGTGGAGGGAACCGAAGCGAGTGAATCATGTGAGGACGGTGCAGAGGAAGACGGTGGCATAACTGACGGCGGGACGCACTCGAGATAGGCCGGCTTAAGTCTGTCGATGGAGACTGTGTCAGTTTTGTCAGCCTTCTGAATGACGTAATACTTGTTCATCCGCTGAAGAACCTTATACGGGTCATCATATGGGGAACAAAGAGACTTGCGAACCGCGTCATGCCGGACGAAAACGAATGGAGAAGATTTCAGGTCCTCATGCACAAACACAAGTTTCGATGTCAGACGAGTGGGGGTTGGACGCAGTTGAGCCATGCGTTGCTTCAAATGCTGTACGAAGGTGCTCGGGTTGTTGGTGTTCGTCGTGGAAGACTGCACAAATTCGCCGGGAAGACGGAGGGGTGTACCGTACACAAGTTCGGCGGCAGTGCATTGGATGTCCTTCTTGACGGAAGCTCGGATGCCTAAAAGTGCAAGAGGGAGATTGTCACTCTAAGAAGCTGATTCTGTTTGGGACATCGGTGCGGACTTCAGTTGACGGTGTAGACCCTCCACGAGGCCGTTGGAGGCAGGGTGGTTGTGATGTGCGCACACCCGAGCAGTTTAGTGAACTGACGGAAAAGGCTTGATTGGAATTGACTCCGGCGGTCAGTAGTAAGGGCGGCTGGAACACCAAAATTTGAAATCCAGTGCGTCAGAAAGTCTGTGGCAATATTTTTTGCCGACGTATCCGAGATGGGAACGAAAATCGGCCATCGTGTGAAACGGTCAACAACTGTCAGAATATGCGTGTACCCGCGTGAAGGGGGTAGCGGATCAATTAAATCCAAGTGGACGTGTTGAAATCGAACATCTGGAACGGCAAATGTACTTGGTGGAGAAAATGTGTGGCGGTGTACTTTATTTTTCTGGCAGGCTAAACACTGTTTAGTCCAAAGAACGATGTCAGAGTTCATCTTCGGCCAAATAAATCGAGTGGCGATTAGCTTACGAGAAGCGCGGATGCCAGGATGTGATAGGGAATGGAAATGAGCAAACACTGTCTTGCGGTAGGATAATGGAACAACAGGTCGAGGAGTGGCTGTGGACCAGTCGCACAAAATCGTGCCTGGTGATGCGGGAAGTGGTGCATCTCGAAGTTGCAGAGTAGTAGTAGAACGCAGTTCGTCAATGGACTTGTCGCCTGATTGGAGGTCTGCAAGCTTCGCCAAGTCGAAATCGGATGCAAGTGTGTTAATGTCCGGACGGGCTAATGCATCAGCAATGACATTGTCGCTGCCGCGGACGTAATGGATATCTGCAGTAAACTGCGATATAAAGTCCAGATGACGAACTTCCCTGGGCGAGTACCGATCTGGCTTGGCCTTGAGGGTGTAAAGGAAAGGTTTGTGGTCGGTGTGAACCGCAAAATTTCTGCCCTCTAAGAGGTGTCGAAAATGACGAATGGCCAGGTAGATTACGAGGAGTTCGCGAGAGAAAGCACTGTAGCGAGTCTGCGCCGGTTGTAGCTTCTGTGAAAAGAAAGCCAATGGCTGCAACTGGTTATTCACCTGTTGATGCAGGAGTGCGCCGACAGCACAGTTGGACGAGTCAGTGGTCAAGATCAGCTGTGTGTGGGGATCGGAGCTGAGATGGTGAAGCAAAGTGGAATCAGCAAGAGCTTACTTAGCTGCCTCAAAGGCTGAGTGAGCTGCTGGAGGAACTTCGATGGGCTTTGTTTTAGACTTAAGAAGGTCAGTAAAGGTAGCTAGGGTCGCCGCACAGTGAGGGATAAAACGTCTGTAATAGTTGAGAAGGCCTATGAAACGCCGCAGGTAAGTAAGTGTCTTAGGGACAGGGAATGACAGGATGCTCTGCACCTTCTCCAACAGCGGTGTGATGCCATGATGGTCGACGTGGTGACCAAGGAAATCTAGAGAAGAGACGCCAACGATACATTTGTCGACGTTTAATGGCAGACCGTGTTGCTGGAAACGGTCGAATATCTGGCGCAAGTGCGAGGCATGTTCCTCTGCCGAAGAACTTGCGACGAATATGTCATCAACGTATATATAAATGAATTAGAGGCCCCGCAAGACCTCATCGATGAAGCGTTGGAAGGATTAGGTCGCGTTGCGCAAACAAAGCGGCATTCGAAGGAATTCAAACAAGCCGAAAGGCGTTGTGACGGCGGTCTTGGGATGTCTTCTTCTTCGACGAAAATTTAGTGATATGCCCTAATGAGGTCCATTTTTTAAAAAATAGCCTTTCCAGCTAGCGTGTGAGAAAAATCATGCATATGAGAAACAGGATATCGGTCGGGAACAGTGCCTCGGTTGAGAGCGCGATATTCGACGAATGATCTCCAATCATCAGTCGATTTCTTGGGTACCATGTGGAGGGGAGAAGCCCATGGGCTGGAGGAAGGATGAATAATTCCATCATATGTTCAAATTCATTTCTTGCTATCCGAAGTTTTTCGGGGTGAAGACGGCGAGGATGAGCGTAAACAGGTTGCTCCGTGGTGATGATGTGGTGTTTAACCGTATGCTGAACCTCCCCCCTAAACTGACAGGGCTAAGTGAGGGACGAGTAGTCCTTCAAAATTTCAGCGAAGGATGAACTTGGTACGGTCGATTGGATGCTAACCGAGGGTTCAGAAGCGGCAATCCCTACGGTAAAGAGTGTAGTTGTAGTATCGATGAGTTTGCGATGCTTGAGGTCGACTGCAAGGTCAAAATCAATTAGGAAATCTGCCTCTATAATGGGAGATTTAACGTCGGCGTGCACAAAGACCCACTGGAAACGTCGCCGAAGACCGATGTCAAGTGTGAGCGACCGTTGACCATAAGTGTTGATGGTGGTGCTATTGGCAGCCTGCAATGAAAACTGCGCCAGCTTGAGATGGTGGCGCCTTGGAGGCGGGATCACACAAATCTCGGCACCAGTATCGACAAGGAAACGGAGGCCGCTCGTCTTGTCACTGATATAGAAGAGGCGACCGGGTCGTGACTGGCCAGCGGCAGCTGTCGCTGTTACTGACTGGCGCGGTCGTTTTCCTGTGGTGAGGACTGCATGTATGTGCAGGGAAGAATGTACTTGCGTGCTTTCGGGCCGTAAACGCGATAATAGCAACACAGGTTTGAAGAGGGATGTTCACGAGATCTAGAACGACGACTGTAAGTTGTTGATGGCAGTGCACATTGTGCTCACTTGTGTGCAAAGAAGACGTGCAGTGTCTCTTAGATCGTCATAGTCACCGCGGTGGGGACTGTTCGGTTGTCTTGAGGAACCTGATGGCGTGATGGCTCTGCGTGATGAGCGACGACAGGCCAACCAGTCCACACAAGTGTCACGTTCTACTTGTGTGAACAACTCCCGTAGCATCCGATTGGTCGACTTGGCCACTCTCTGGATGACGGCATTCTTCAACTGGGTGTACGGGTAGTTGGCAGGAATGGCGTCGAGGAGGTCGTCGACATCGACGGCAACGTCGAAGGGGAGACTTTGCACCACATAAGAGTAGCGGGTGCGTTCGCTAGTGATGCGACTCGTTGAGAAAACCGCTTCAATTTGACGTAACCAAAACCGGGGGTTGCTCGGTGTACAAGGGAGTAGTTTGAAGGAGAGGGTATTGACGTCGAGAGAGTCTTTTTCAGGTTCGTTATCGGTTATAGTAAAAAGGAGGTTGCGTAGATGTAGAAAAATAGGGTCACCACTTTTGTAGTGTAAACGGCAAGTAAACTACAAACAATAATAAATATCTAACTCTAAGTAGGGGATGCTGCGTTTCTTACCAGAAAAATGACAATAGCATAATGAGTATAAGAAAAACGACGAAAGGTAAATAATCGTACAGACTCACGATAAATAAAGCCTTCTCCACAATCATTGGCCGTAGGGTGAATGTGCTGGGTAAAATCCGATACGAAGTCAGCGAATGAGGCTTGTCGCCCAGGTGAAATTACGTCCAGTTAAATATGGCCAAAAGATATAAAAGTTTCGTGTCGATTGACTAAAAGCGACTGACGCAAATGAGTGCAATCAACGAAACAATGACACCAAGCTGCAGACGGACACAAAAGTCAAGCTTTTTCACAAGTCGAAACCAGGTGTGTGTATTTTTGCTGATTTAAACAACAGTACAGAAACGTTCAGGTGTACAAGAAATTTTTAGTGAAAAATCGAAAGTTTGCGTGAACCTACACCGTCAAGAAGGGAGAGGCTGCACGGTATCGGATAATTTTCAGTCGGTAATTTCTACTATGAAAATGGGACTAGTCCAAACAAAAGCGCCGAAGAACATCTGTCGCTGTTGGCCGAAGAAATTGTCCCTGGTGAGACCGGCCATAGTGTTCAGAGACCACAAATGCATCGCTACGGTACAGTCGATCAGAGGATTTAACACCCAAAATTTGTGGGAGCTTTTCTGAATGCAAAATTGAGCATTATTTCCCTTACATAAAGGATAATTTAGCAGACCTTTCACACTCATGGGTAGTTTATTCCAAGTAGCAATTGCATTTGCGGAAAAGAACCGACGATATTTAACAATACCTGCCAGAGGAAGAAATAAAAAGACCTCACGGTGTCCGTTACGTCGGGGGTGGACATGATGTCTTACAGAGGTGAGTGGGTTAAATGTGTGATTATATAAGAGTTTAAATAGAAAGAATTGTCCCTTTTGAAATCTACGGAACCATAAAGGATCAAGGCCCGTTAAACGGTAACGTTCTTGGTAAGACAAATGTCGGTGTTCCGGGGTCAAAATTCTCTTGGTAAAAAAGTGTTGAACGGATTCTATTTGCTTCCGTTCTGCAGTACGCATGAGGCTAAATAAAAAGGAAGAGTATTCCAAGCAAGGTCTAACATACATGTTGTAAAGGCGCATTTTAATGTCCCTGTTTTTGAAGTTTCGGTGGATAAACCCGGTCGTTCTACGTGCTTTGGAGACTATCAAGGCACAGTGCTCCGAGAGATTGAGACTCTTGGAGTATGATACGCCTAGATCCTTAATAATCCCAAACACCTTTATGGCGTGACCGTCAATACTTAGTTGAGGCTGGCGGTCGTCGCCAACTACCATGACTGAGCACTTATTCGAAGAAAGAGAAAGGCGCGTGTGCGGCACCACTGGGCGAAAGCCTGTAGGTCGATCTGTAGGAGCTCAAGCACGATATCATGATCTGCCGACTTATATCGATATGCAACTTTTAGATCATCGGCATACATGAAAGGCTTACAATTCCGGAATAAATCGGGTACATCATTAACGAAATGGTAAAATAAAAGCGGGCCGATTACACTACCCTGGATGACTCAACTCCTCACACGTGTGGGTTTGGAGATAGTATTGGAAATCTTAACGCGTTGTGTAAGAGCGCACAGGTAAAAGGATATAAAATGCAGAAGTTTGCCACCTATTCCGAAACGGGACAGTTTCAAGAGAAGAAGAGCAAGGTCAGCACGATCAAAAGCCCTGGTGAAATCGAAATATACTGTGTAAAGTGCAAAACCATTGTCCCTAGATTGGAGAACATAGTCAAAGAAAGAGAGTTGACAGATGTCAAAAGACTGAGTTTTGATGAATCTATGCTGAGCAGAACTCAGTAGGTTATTATCTGTTAAGTGACACATCATCTTACCTTTGATCGATGTCTCTAAGATCTTCGAAACTGCGGGGAGGTTGTTTATTGGCCGAAAGTCATCAAATGACGTGGATTTTCCATGCTTAGGAACGGACAAAATGTGTGATTCCTTCCACAGGGTAGGATAAGTTTCAGTTTCAAGAGCAAGATTAAATATCTTGCTCAAGAGGGATGGGAAAATCGTATTTGCATCGGCTTTTAAAATACTTACTGGGAGACCATCAGAGCGTGGACTAAAAGATTGACGAAAACGCCGAATCGCGATAGTCACATCCAACAGAGTGAAAGTAATAGTTTCTAGAACTGCCCCGGTCAATGTCTGGATGGCCGGAAGCGGAGTGGTCGAGTCTTGAATAGACGTTTTGGACAGGAAATCATTGAAGAAGTTGTCGAAAACAGCGAGGAAGCCGAACACTTCAGTGAGTACGTTGGCTCGGCTTTTACTGGGAAAACGGAGTTTCGAAGTCATAGTGCTGGCATTGCCGTTAAGACCGCTGGTCCCGTATTTAACTCCATACTCTCCCCGAAATCTGTCGTAGAAGCGATCTACAGAACCTCAAACAGGCAATGTCCTCGGGTCCGGACATAATACCTGCCAGATCGTTGAAGAAATTGGCGAACAAACTCTCCAAACCACTTGCACATGTTTCCCTTTCGGCGTTCGAATTAGGAAGGTTGCCATTGGAATGGACGGCAGCAAGGATGATGCTAGCGTTAATGCTAACAAATACCGGCCTGTAAGTATCACCTCTATATGCCGTAAGATAATGGATGCCATAGGTATGAAAGCAACAATGAATTTCCTGGAACAGAACCACTAACTCTCAGCTCTGCAGCACGGCTTCAAACGGAAATGCTCATGCCTTTGCAGATTATTGCTCTCGACTGAGCAATGGGTTCGTAAACTGGATGAGGATGGTAGTGTCGAAGTCATCTACACGGTCTTCAAGTAGGCGTTCGACAGCGTCCCGCACAAACGCCTATGCGACAAACTTTCCGAAATTGGGATAAGAGGATAGCTGCTGACATGGATAACAGATTTTCTTACAGGGAGATCACAAACCGTGTGCGTTGGGGCCTCGACGTCAACTCCTAATGTCGTTCTGAGTGGTTTGCCCCAGGACTCCGTCTTAGGGCCGTTGCAAGTCCTGGTTTGCATTACCGACTGCGTTGACGACCGGGGATGAAGCGCCATCATGTTTGCTGACGACGTTGAACTGTGGAGAGTCATCAGGTCTGACACAGACAGGTGCGCTCTTCAAGACAGTCTCAACCGCCTGAGCAATCACCTGCTCGTTGGCTTCTCAATCTTAATGTGGACGAATGTGTGGTCCTGAGACTCCACCAAAAGGACCAGTAAGGAGGATGATTCCCTTCAATACGTTTTGACGGGCAGCCCATTTCAAATGTTGTGTAACAGAAAACCTCGGCGTCCTAATGACCTCCTAGCTGCAACCATCGCCACAGTGTTAGAAGCGCAGTGAAACACGCGACACGGGTGTTATTTGTGTTGAGGCAAGGATTTGTGCAGATCGATAAGAAGCTGTTCGGAAAAACCTACTGGGCCTTCGTTCGGTCTCCCTTAGAGCATGCCAATCAGGCCTGGTGATCGTTGTTGAAGAAGGATTATTAACAACTGGAAAGAGTACCGGCGATGGCTACGAAAATGGTCAAAAATCTGGATCATCTGTCTTACGGAACCAGACTGGCTGAACTAAATATATTTCCTCTCGATTACAGGTAACTGAGCGGCGACCTCATTCAAACATAGCGCATAGCCAGAGGTCGTGAGTGCGCCCTAGACTTTGATGAATTCTTCGAATTTGTCGGGATGGATAGTTTACGCGCTCACCCCCCCCCCCCCAAACTACAGAGGATGTTGGCCCATATAGATGTCCGACGCAACGCCTTCTCACAGAGAGAGGGCCATTGGAGCATGGTTCGGATCCCCTGATGCGATAGTTCTTTCCGAAACTGTGGAGTTTTTTACGTACAGAATGGACGCTCATTTTCTGGTAAACTATTGTACAGATAATCATGATCGTTCTTGAGGCAGCATTTTTCACTTGACTCACAATTACCGTTAACTTTTGAATTTCGAGAATTACTGATCAGATCATCAGATCAGATCAGATTTATTAAGGGAATGGTAGGCGAACGCCTTTGAACTCCCTTTTGGTTACAATAACCCCATAAAAAACAATGTGAATGCTAACCAGACACCCGAAGCAAATGAAGTCAAGGTGCAGTTGAAATTGACGGGTTTGTTTTAGGTTTTTTTTCCTGAGTTCAAAGGGGACTGACAGTGCCCAAGGGGCGCTACAATAAACCTATTCTAAGTGTGAAAAAAAATTAGGTAAGTAATTACATACAACAAGCATTGGTCACTGGTATGAATTTGTCTGTGAATGCCTTCTATATCAAATTGTACAATATCCAGTACGGTACTGAATGGACCAAGTAATATCGAAGCAAGCGCATTTGTGGCGGTCAGGAGATAGATAAAATTGTAAAACGTAATGTTACAAAAACATAGGGAGTAGCATGCTTTGCAACATAAATGTTGCAATTGATTCTATTTCTGTTAATGGTTATGAAAAGGAAGCCCAAGGTCAAAAAACTCATTATCCTGTAAACTCACTTAAACTGACTGAATTCTCTGGTTGTCGTTTTTTATAACTTGTTCTGACCCACCCATCATAATGCCGGTTGAAGACTTTCGGTGATTACTCATGTGTTTCTGAAAAATTTGAGTTGTTTTTTTTGGAAGATTCTAGTGCCCGAAGCCTTGCTGCAATGGTCCATTGTTTTGATTGTGGTGACTAGGTCAAAAATTTCTCTCATGCGTCGGAATATGAATAAATAACTTACACGGCGGCTGTGTAGCTGTTTTTCAGCTTCTAATTTCTTGGAAAGATAGTTTGGGATAAATTGTTTCTTAAGCGGGAATCCGGCGTCTATTAAGGTATCTCAAATTATAAATTGGGCAGAGTATAAGAGGTTAATTGCTTTCATAAGGAATGTTGTTATAAGTTATGGATTTCAGTCTAATAACCTAATCACGCACCATTCAATGCGTTGTCGGTGGGCGCAAAATCGACCGACATGGAAAGAAATTCGAAACGCATGTAAAGGAGTCCCCGGTTTGCCAATTAAGCAAGTCCTTTTACCCTGTGGGTATGGGCAGCATACAATTACAGGTTGACAGTTTAGTGCACGTGGTCGTATATAAACAAAATGCTCGACGCAGACCTATGTCGTTGATGACTGCCGAAATGCCTAGCTAAGCCTTCTGGCTTGCGCAGATATTCACAGAAATTCACTTAAATATTATGGCACCTGACTTTTCTGAGATAGTTAAAAAGCTTGACCGAAATGTGCACTTAAAATGTGACTTTAAATTAGCCAATTGATGACCTTAACGACTTTCGTTACTGTAAATAGTGCAATTATCGAACGACAGCACAACTCGGGTGCTATGGCTAAACTGGAGCCTTACTACATTACTAAGGATCTTCTTTATTCCGAATGTCGCGCCAAAATTACTAAAAATGAACACAAATTTGATCCATCAGTTGTCGAAAGGGCAAAGGATAGTGCATTAATAAAAGATGAAAATGTTTCATATTGGGCAAGGGAATCGGACGATGAAAACCGAATTTTATCTACCTGTCTGAGAAGTACTACAACAAAAAGTCAGACTTTTGGTCGGCAGTACTATGAGAAATCTGTCGACAGCCGATATACGGCAATAAGCGGAGTTTCTAAGAGGCCTAGGTGTAGGATTTATTACGTATTTGCATCATTATGCACATTTGACAGTTAAACATATCGGAGACCCAGCAATCTTTCCAATGGTCCCTGTGACTTTCACAATTATACGAAATATGGACAAAGAGGCCTTTGAACCTGCCTCCATTGCTAGCATCAGATTTCGACATGCAATTAAATCATACCAAACAGAGAGAATATGCGCGGAGGATAGGATTGCAAAACTTCAGTCAATCAGGGTATGAGGGTGTTCTTTACTTCTATGTAACCCGATCCCATTAGTCAATTTTTAAAGAGGTTTTGAATATTTTTCGGGCACTGCGTCAAGTAAACCACGTCTAAGCTTGCCGACCGTCGAGCCTGCTGTCATATATGTCTTAGAAGGCGCTCTTGGTCAGAAGAGCTTGGTCTTTCGTCGGACGACCAAAATTCCACTGAAATAGTGAATAGGGAAGCAATATATTGCCAAGGCCTGCTTACTGCAGACTGCATAAGGAGGCCATAGATAAACAAATGCGTCAATAGAAAAGAGCGTCCAAACAAAGCCTTTGTTAGAACCCTGTTAATAATCACATAATAAAAATCATATGGGTGCGCTTGAGTTCGTATTCTAGTCTCAGTTGTTCTAATGGATAGGCTGAACGTTTAACTTGCATCAGAAAAAAACAAGTGGGATAGCAAAATAATAAAAAATCTCCCTTTTCTAAGGTCCAAGGTAAGGGATCTTCAAACCGGTTTCAGATAGTTTCACTAAGTCACTCAATCACTTACCGCTTCCCACTTTGGACAAAAGGTTTTACCATTGCCATTAAAAATTTCTTTAAACAGCAGGTACAGATGAAAACGAATGAAGCGCAACAAATGTGTAAAGGTGTCGCAAATCGGCAAAAAGGAAATGAAACAGGTAATTAGGAGATGAACCTTCCACGCCGTGATAAATAAAAGCATGGACGGAATGAAAGATGTATTTCAGTGAAGCTGGTAAATGTTTTAAGACAGAAGACCTGAGATGCACGGGTTATCCTTCGAGTTTGCTGAACGCGAAGCTGTGGAAATCTCTAAGAATAGGTTTTCTGCTGAAATCACTTTTTAAGGGGCGGACGGAGAACGATTGTTAAATTTAGGCAAATATATATTCTTTAATGCTCGTTTTAGAGGTTACGCACTCAGACCGGAAAAATATTAGCAAAATAGTTACTAAGTCCCGTCATCATCTACCTTTGGCTGATTATTGAAAAGGATCAATTTCCTAATTGATACTTGTATGATAATGTCAACCTTATTGTATCACATTACTGTTCTTCTGAGGACCACTTCAAAAGGACCTGGGATGTGTGGAAATATCACAGAAATCCATGAAGATTGCAGACTTGCGCACTTTTATCTAAAATAAAGACTGGCGTTGCAATTCCACAGAAAGGCGTAAAAGATAAAAAGTGATATGAAGTTGTCACGGAACAAAGGGGAACCATCCAATGTTTTAAGAAAGTAAGGCGTAAAGCGGCACGTGGCCTTATAAGGACGGAGCGAAAGCTTAAAAATTAAAAGTATCAAGAAAACATATAGTGAAGCGCGCTCTTTTTATCTAATTATGATTGAACTTTTGTATTTACTGCTGCTTAAAATTGAAAGTTAATAAAGCAATGAGTGGGAAAGAGTATTTAAAATAAAATTGAAACCACCAATATCAAGGCCATATTTAAATAGATGTTTCGTAATTATCTGAAAATTTTTGATTTTGTGTAGTACATATTTAATATTGACTCAACTGCAAATGACACCTATGGACTACATATTTGACTGCATATGCAAAGACAACCATGAATAACGGAGTATGTGAATTTGTTTGACTCATGTCTTAGACTAAACTTAATTACTGATTCCTTCTAATAAGTGATCACTCTAATCTTTACAGTTTTCCCTAATCATATTTGCAATTCTTCAAAAGATGTCATTTTATCAAGGCGACAAATGGGGTTGTTCTCAGACGTAGTGACATTCGACAATATTACTTTAAAGAGTAACATAAATAAAACCAATCTGTGAGCGATTTGCAACAACGGCACTCTATTAAATAGATAGAGACGAGAGTATAGTCATAGGAAATCAAAAATAACCTGGTATTTGATTTGGTTTAGGCAAACGTTTGAAATGCAACCGAGAGCTTTTGTTCTAATTGTCTCGGCTTGCAAGTAACAAAGTGGACTTAACATCCAATACTCGGTGTTTATTGTGAAACACAGCCTCACCTTGAGCCTTCTCCTGCAGGATCCTTTTTATTGTCTTCCAAGAGCTGATCTAGAACTAAAACCTTCGAACTTCGCGTTTTGAAGTGGCGCATACTTTATACTCAAGCCTGCCATAATCGATAAATGGAATGCCTAAATGTAGTATCTGCCCTACCCGTGTGCCGGAGAAGTTAGTAAGCTTGAATCAACTAATATATAAGCTCTTGTCAATTTCCGTAGAAACTTTATGTGTGATTCTACAAGTAAACAGTAATAAGCATGTTTATATCCTAATGGTAGGACACATGCGCAGTCAAAACATTTAACCAGCAAAGTTGGTTAAATTATAATGTTTGATTTCTGGTAGATCCTGTCACAAGATTCAGACTGCTAATTGGGAACCGTAAACATGAGCCTCAAGTGAGACAAATTTTATTCGAAATTTACATGGTAAATGCCAAACCTAACCACAAGATAGGGGGTTGATGTTTTAGCTTGTAGATGGCTTTGTGGAAAGAATAAATATAAGATACTAGAAGAATATCCCATGAAACAATATAGAATATTACTGTCAGCTCCTGTCTTCCGAATTTAAGCCCTGTTCTTTGATTATATTTTTGCCATAAAAGGGAATCTCCGCCCAGCTCCAAAGCGCCCACTTTGGACAGCTTACAAGAGTTCCGGTACCAAAAGCCAAAGATGTTGCGACTCCTGGGGTAAGCGGCTGTTTAACGGCAGAGGACCTCAATGTTTAACAAACGAAATTAAGGATGGCAATACCTCGATTTTACAGTTGGTTTATTTTATATGTCTGAAAAAACAATCACTGGTGAAAATCTTAACTTAATTTGAGTTTAATTTTGATTTAATGGTTGACGACCTGGTAAGTGAGCGTTTCTTGCAACTCAACAAAACTACCCGTAGTTTCGTACGTTCTATTTTGGCGGTAAGATAGCATGCAATTTCACCGAAATGCTTTCATATAATCAAAATAACAAACAAATTAAAATGATACATATGTGTGTGTGCGGGTGCCACGCGGGAGAATCGTTCACCGTGCGAGTCGCCTTCTGGCCGCTTATAATATTACTTAAATGCATTTCCTGCTTAATAGCTAACTAGCAAACCTGCGGTCAGCAATATTACGATGATCGGTATACCTAAACCGTCCACGAGGTACTGCGCGTTCCATAAGCCTCTTTCTGAGTACAAAATTTCACCAAATCATCCCGATGATGACTCAGTGAAAAAACGAACAAGTCATCAGTCTGTTTGACACTTTTCTGTAATCATCATCCAATAGCAAGAAGATCATATACCTCGAAAGAGCAATCAAAGCTTTGGTAGTCGTCCGGAGAGCCGGCGTTTATTTCGCCTACACGACATTTCCCTCCAGTCTTTGAGGTCTTCAGGCACCGAATTTGTGGAAAACTGCTGCATCCTTGACACCACAAAGAACATGGTCTCAAAAAGCTGCATCCAGCACGAGAGAAACATTTTCTGTGAACCCTTTAGCGTACTGGTGCTTCTGGAGAGGTAAGTTTCCATTTTTCAGTTCCGATCTATGCCTTTTAAAGATCCCAGACGATTCAAATGACTTTCTTCATCTTTCTCTTCTGATGGATCTGCTGTGGGGTTGAAAATGCTACAGGGATGCAAAAGAGGCCTACTGTCCGGAGCGCCTTATTCATACCGATAGCCCTGATTGGCTCGCCTATTGCAACGGTGGACGCGTAAACCGAGATATTGAGTTCAGCAGACTGTCTGGACTTGCAGGCGCCTCGCTGCCTGGGTCTGTCGCCACCACTGATGCATCGAGGAGAAGCACAGTAAAAACTTCGGTCACTGCTGCTGCTTCCATGGAGTACGTGAGTTTTTTCTGAACAGAGCGTCCTTGAAATACCACTGTATACTCTTTTGAGTTTCGTCACAAAGTAGACATTTACGCGTTGCTACTAAATTTATAAAGAATAATCAGATCCTTCATTCGACGGTTGACGATAACAGTTCGACCGTCTTAGCCAACGGTGCCCACTGTGTGCTCTTCATCAAGGTGGAAGCAGGCGTGGTGACTTGTGCGGGAATTAGTTTATAGTGGCAGTAGACTTGCATAGCATCAACTACACTCTCTCCTTCCTCCCCGCTGGGCCCGGTGTCAAGACACAGTCAAAAAGATGGAAGGCGGGGGGACGCAAGTGACTGGCAGGATCGGGCCCGCACATAGGCGTGCCACCACAAACACTTGGCCGGGATTTTAACCAGCGACAAAAATGGGTCAGAAAGGGAAGAGGATGACACAAGTCACTGAGCAACCATGCACACAGCCAGAATCGCAAGCGCATCCACCGGCAGGGAACCAGATGCCAGATAATTGCCAACGCACACAATCGCCATGGAACACCGAATAGTCTTAAATGCGACCCTTCAGATTTGGACGTAAAAAAACTTATTCAGGTGGTCGGGTAATAAACCCTCCCAAAGGAGATTTTCACCCAAAATATATTAATTACCTGCACTGAAGAAGAAGACGCGATCGCTGGGACAAGAGTCTTATTAGCTTGAAGTTTCCAATTCCTACTCGAACCCATCATCAGAGACAACAGCAGATACGGAGGGTATATGCACACGGGGCTGCAGTATTTATAGGATGAAGTCGCCATGCTACCGCAGTCCAATGAATATTCACGGACCGTTGCACTTAATGTGCTGGTAATTTGATGGCCGACATTTGCGTCGCTAGTTGCTGCAATTTCATTACATGCATTGATGTTGGTGTGATAATTGCTCAACCATCTGACGCACCGATCCTGGTGTTGGGAAAAGTGTTCACCTGTGCGCTCCCGCGTGGCTAATTACTAAGCCTAAGCGAAGTTTCAGCACCGAGTATGTAAGGGATGGAGTCGAGCAGGAATCTGAAACGTCTGGCTAATAAAGCTCTTGTCTCAGCTATCGTGTCTCCTTCTTCAAGACTTACTCCTGAGACTCGTCTCTCCGCATCTATTAGTAATTATCTGCATGTTATCATTCAAAGCACTTTGACTGCGGAAAAGTAGGTTTAAAGCTGTAACCACCCAACTTTCTGAGCCAAGAATACTTGAGATCACCATTAATAACTTGGGAAAATTTCGTTCATTCAGTGTTCGGGCTACGATGATGGGCTGCGAAATCCATGCGTGGTTCAGGATCTTTTTAGATTTCTTTCCATGACGGTTAATCACAAATGGCGCGAGTACGCCAGCGTTGGTCGTTGAAGTCTCGTGCGGACGCTTGCTATTGGGTAGCCGGATAGTGTGTGCGTGGCTGCAACAGCCCAGGTCGACGATTGCCCACATTCTCAGGCGACTGGAATGCTTGGCGAGCTGTTAACTTTGGTATTTTACATAATGTGCGCTTGTGGAGATTTAGTGCGTCGAGTATGTTGTGGGCCAAGATTTCAGACGTTCACACGGTTCCTTTTGTATTTTTACGCACAGGGTCTGCTTTTGCCCTCAAGGTTTCCACAAACTGCATGCAGGATGCTTGCCATATGCAGCAAATGACGTTTTTTGAAATATTTTACTCGCAGAAATGATATCTTCCTGTTTTAATGCTTTTTAAATCATAGAATTAACTCATGAAACGTCATGAATCAACACAGGTAAATGACTTTAACACAGACTACCATAAGCGAAAAATGTGTCTCAGCTCGTCAAAAGACAGCCGGCAGACACCAGATGCAAGTAAAACACCAACCTGCAACCATCTTGCGTACACAGCTTGTACACCTTCAAGAAAGGGTTGGCTACCTCGATGGAATAGGTGTTGTCTACAAAATCCCATGTGTCAGTTGTAATGCCGCCTATTGTAGCCAGACTGGGAAATCTGTCCCAACCCGAATACACAAGCATCAGATAGCAGTGAGAAGACGTGACCATCTATTCCAGGTGGCTATGCATAAACTGGATAATTTACACAAATTCGCACGGCAGGACACTCGCATTGTTGGTGCCTGCCCAATAAGCGAAGGCCGGGAGTCCTTGAAAGCAACGCACGCAGATGAGGCATGCATCAATCGGCATACCGAGTTGGATGCAACATACACATTTCTCAAAGAAAATGGAAGCAAGCGCGGACAGTGTCGAGGGGCTGATGAAACACCATTGATGTTCATTGGCGAGGACTTCGACCAATCACAGTATCACTTGTTCGACACGGTTAAATAGTGAACTGTTTTAGTACATAACTCAGAAGTCTGATGACGAGCTGGGGGGCCAGGCTATAAATTCTGCGTAATAAGGCTTATTTTTTTTCAAAGAATCTTGCCTATTTTAAATTACATTTCTTGGGATGCCCATCCTCCAGTATGTAAGTGTATATATCTACATATGGCTATGTATATTGCACAGCCATGCCCACCAATATGGTTATAACGTTGGTTTTACTAACGTTCATTAGCCAAAAACCAGGATTTAACACTCTGATAACCGAGGACTTCGACCAACCACAGTATCACTTGTTCGACACGGTTACATAGTGAACTATTTTAGTATATAACTCAGAAGTCTGATGACGAGCTGGGGGACCAGGCTATAAATTCTGCGTAATAAGGATTATTGTTTTTCAATGAGTCTTGCCTATTTCGAATTACATTTGCTGGGATGCCCATCCTCCAGTATGTAAGTGTATATATCACAGTACCTGTGCTAACTCATGAAATGTCATGAATTAACACAGGTAAATGACTTTAACGCAGAATCGGTAAACACTACGGCTCCCAAAATCTGATAGCGAAAAATAAAAGATGTGCCAAAGAAATAAAGCAAAGTTTGATTTAGAAAATATTATTTACTGAGATAAAAATAAATGATTTTCGACAGAAATCACATTTTCGAGAAATGCCTATATTACAACCAAGCTAATAAAGGCTACGTATGTACGAAAGTTAATTGAAAAATTTCTTCCTTTCATTAATCTTCATAAACAGATTAATAAGGTAAAACAAAGAATTTTGATCCGAAAGCTTTAATAGCGTAGGAAACTGCTTGAATATCTGGAATCTTCCGATTTCGCCTAAATTCAGCCCGTTTTCTATTTAATATACAGATCGGTATCGAACTTTCCTTCAGCAAACGGCCTTTTCGTCCTTATTTCAACTAAATAAACACAAACAACAACACCAAAAATACGCTACGGTTTCCACTCTAATTTTGACCTCGACATTTCATGAGTTAGCACAGGTACTGTATTACCTTATAGAGCAGCTATTTATGGATGTGTGAAAACACTGTGGCGTCCGAGCTGTTACCAAAGAGATAATTTGTGCACTGAAGAGACTGTCTTGACAAAGTTTCTTTCCTTTCTTTGTTTTGGTAAAGCTTATATAATCCTAACAAACCGGCATTCTTTAGATGACAGCCAAGGTTTACTTACCGAAACATTCAACGTTCACCTTTAAAAGCCACGTGGGTATGAAGACAACAGTTTTAATCTTCTATGATCGCGGTTATCGATTACGTCTACTTTGGGCAAATCGTACTCTAGACGGTGGGAATAAGTCAAGAACATACATTACAGGCTCCGATTTAGTCGTGTGTCATTTTTTTGGGAAATATTTTCTGAGAATTCAAAGAATAAACTCACACACGGAGGAAACGTGGACTCAGTGGATAATATTGTTGGGGATGTCCAAACTCCCGAAAAGAGTTAGTTAATCTCACTGGAAAGCATGCGTATGCGTCCCCCGTGCATTTGGGCAACACGCAGTCGACAGCGTCTTCCTATTGGCTGTCGCCACAGTGTTTCCTTAGACCCTGATTGGCCCATGTCCGCGATACGTTGTTCGACTCTTCCAGAACTTTCTTCTCAAAGCTGTCTGGACAGAATGCTACCCATTCTGGAGGGGATGCTATAAATACACAGAGTTTTCCAGTTAAAAGGGCTTGCAGGTTCCAGTTAATTCCCTCTCGGGCGGTTGTATCCTTCTCCGCTGCCGTGTTGGGGCTTTGGACAACAGTCGAACAGGCATCAAGCACGTGTGTTGGATGAGTACTAGGCCGGGTCGAAACAGACGTCAAGGTGTCAAAAGGGCGTTCTATACGCAGCGTAAGAGCATAAAGTGGCTGTTTATATGTTCCGATGGAGCAGTTTATAAAGATGGTCCAGGCTTTGGTGCGTTGGACTAACGCTAGCAGGATTGCAATGCTTCTGTGGCCTAGCTCTATGAAAAGCATGCGATCTCCTTGTGGCCCTTCTTTTCAAAGAAGAAACAGATGAAATCTCAATACAGTGATAACACCCGCCTGCTGACGGTTGGTGTACGACGGCAGTCAAATGCGGATTTCGCGTACTGGTGGTACGGCGGACGTTTGCCATTCCTGCTGAGCTGCAGGCTGGTGAAGTTGGTCGTTCCAGACTTTTGTCTTCTGTCCCACAGTCTCACTGGTTCGAGCAGGGGGCAGGTATGCTGCCATGGAGCCTTATTCTTTGGAGTCTAGTTTTTATTCAGCATTCCAGCCATACTTCTCAGGTAGCAAGCCCTATGAGAGCCGGGCTTCCACAACGTTTCCTCTGGCTACTGTTAATCGGATTGTCTAATCACAGGTTTATCTTCTGAATGCTTCCATATTCGTGAGTATTTGAAATGCATCGTCAGCACTTTCGCCTAGGTTTGTAAGACAGCGTCGAGGCTCCTGTTTCCAGTGAAAACTGAGAACACCGAAATGTCATTATACGCAAGGGCTTTAACTTGATAAACAAACTCTTCAGGAGATCGGTTTGATGCAGAAACGGTGTTTTTTGCCGTCAGACCTCTGAAGTGGTTCTTGTCCAACCTACAGGTTAGCAAGGATTGGATGCAATCAAAGATGGAGGCGTCCGCGTCGCTACATGTTTTATATCACAGTCCGGATATAAAATGCAGAACGGGAGTTGGAGGCAAACTAGTTTATTGTGCGGTGTGCCCGATGTTATTGCCAAGAACCAGGAAGTCCAGGAGTCCATTTCTTCCCAACGCACAGGGGGTTGTCACGAAATAAATCGGCGTACTCTCGGAACGGAAGCCACACTATAGTTGTTCCTCGCTAGTGAGCCTTTTGCGACGTCGCTCACTTCCATAAGTTACCAGACTCCCTTAGCAAAGCCTGACGCATGTAAAGATCGGAATCGGGTAGTTTGTCGCGCGTGCTGACTGATTGTCAACCTCTGTCACAGCACATGTGCCCATCATCTGCCTTCTTGATTCTGTCTTGCCGTTGGTAAAGAGGAGGTGTGAAAGGAGGTTAGTTACAGTAGGTGGGCTAACTCTTGAAATGTCAGCTGAAATTCCGAAATGCGTTTTCTTTCCAAAAAAGATTAATTAAGTAGGGTTGTAAAACTAATCACCCCGCAATATCATAATTCAGTTACCTCAGGGTGCCGGCTTTCGAATGAACTTATTTCCGACTGCATGCAAGGACAAAACTCTGCAAAAAATGACTACTTATATAGTATGCATTTTTCTCATTGATTTTCGATGTCCCTAAATGTCCAATTAGATTTCACGGAAAACATGAATGAAAATATCCATTCTTCCGCTCATTCGGTAGACAATTACGTCTTCTTCCAATCTGATACTCAACGGAAGGGTATAATCCGGATTTCAAAAACTTTTCCAATTCCTGAATAATTTTGAACCCGCTCTGCCGACACACTCGCATTCAGAGTTTCCAAACTACAAACCATATATTTTTCGCATACGGAAAACCACTAATTTCTCTACGATATTAAGAGGAGACTATATGGGGTTCATAGAATTTAGTATTGAATTTGATTCATATAGTTAACTTTACAAGCCATATTGGTAAATGCAGAGGCACGACGTTTTATGAACGGCCATTTCACGGTATTTAACAGTCTCACAATAAGAAACTTTTTGGAAACCAAATTATGCCCGTCTATCAAGTATAAAATTGAAAGAAGACGTAATGTTCTACCGAATGAGTTAAAGAATGAATATTTTTATTCATGATTTCATGAAATATTATTGGACTTTTAGGGGCAAAGAGAAAAATGCGTGCTACTTAAGTGGTCACTTTTTCAGAGTATCGTTTTGTATGCAGCCAGAAGGAAGTTTGTTCGAAAGCTGGCATCCTGGGTTAACTGAATTATCATAGAATTATATTGTGAGCTGATTAGTTTTACAACCCTACTTAATTCATCTTTTTCGAAACGAAAATGTATTTCGGAATTGCAGCTGACATTTCATGAGTTAGCCCACCTACTGTAGATTCAGCACAAATTTGGCCCCCATCGAGGCAGAATTGGCGGGACACGTTTACTGTGAGACTTCACAACCGCTTGAGCAAAAGTCCCGGAAACATCAGCTGCTGTCAGCACAGGGTGCTGGACGGGAAACAAAGGTGGTGGAAGTTGGAATAAGTGCTCGCCATCACAAGTGAAGGCGTTACCCTGACAGTCGATTTCCTTTCTTTTCCGGTTATTAATCTTCAAGCTTAAATGAAGAATTTCAGATCCACTGGCTGTCCTTATGATGCTCCCCACCAGGAGTCAAAGGAACAACTAGTTTTCTCCACAGAGTCTAACTATAATTTTTCCACTCAGCTTAAAGGGCCATGTGTATGGATAACGTCTATACCTTCAGATGAACAGCTCACGTAAAAGTCTGTGAAAATCGACAGAACTAAGCACCCGTTTCCAGATGAAGCTATTCAAAGCTATGTGGGAAGAAATGGGCAAAACTCCTTCACTCAAACTAACCTACAGCACAGGAGCTGAGACCACTCGATTCTGAGTGACTCATGACCTGCTGAGGTGACTTGCTAGTTCCCACTCAGCTGTGTTATTCAGGCAAACGGATACCTGTGAAGTGGAAGATTGTGATTTAGATGTTTTTGAGACTCTCTGACACGTGGGCTGTCCTCTCAAGTCCGCTCTTCTCGACGCCTTTTTCGCCAGGTACCTGAACGATATCACCTTGCGAGGGCATTCGGGCAGCCTGCAGACAATCTGGTTTCTCTCCACCCAGCGACTTCTCCTCTCTGCCGGTTTCGACATCGGCATTCGCCTGTGGGACCTGAGTCCAGACTTCAGTCCCAGTCGTTCACGTTACATCCGCATCTTCTCCGGTCACCAGGACACTGTACTATGCCTTTGGGTGGACAAAACCAGCTGCGAGGTCCTGACTTGTCCCACAGACCCCACCTCGACTGCCCAGAAGGCGAACGAGACGGTGCTGGCGTTTGCCAGTGGAAGTGCGGACCGCACTTGCAAGAGTACGTTGCAGTAGAGGTGTGTGCGCATGTTTCCAGCCACACTTTTCAAGGATTTGTGTGTCCCCAGCTGTGGGTTTGAAGAATGCACAGAAATTTGGATTAGTTTTCTTCAAAATACGGATTTTGTTAGGCGTCAAAACAAGTAGGAGAGGCGCCCAACAGGCTCTATAGAAGAAGCTGCATATGAGTATAACTCTTCCCAACATATGGGACCGAAATCTCAGCCGTTCTCCAAACACTTGCAGCTCTTTGCTAGAAGCCGCAGTCAATGATTATGCCAATTAATCTATTAAACCTAGTAGTCATCTGATGGACTTTTTCGCTGATTGTTTAGGAAGTCCAGCTTGGGCAGTCTGGTAACTGTATCGGAATTGGTGGATTCCGTACGTTGCGGTAGGCTGGAAGGATAGCTTAGTCCAAATGCAGTCGAACCCAAGGCCCCTTGTAGCTCAGGTGGTTTGAGCGTTGACTGTGCTACTCAAGCCTTACTCCTGCTGTCGTAGGTTCAAGTGTCGCCGAGACCGCCGCGTTTTTGACATTAAAGTCAAATGGACTATATTAATCACCAACTTCAAGATCCCATAAAAGCCCTTAAGAGTAATCTTCCCGAAGAAAAAACACTAGCGACTCGGACAAAAGTCCTTTGATGAGTCTTTGGTAAGATGTGGTTATGTAGCCCTACCTAATAGACAGAATACTGTTGGGGTTTGCTATTAAGGGTCAGGGCTATGGGTTAGGGTTAAAGGTCAGGGTTAGGCTTAGGGGAAAGTGCAACTATTTCCAAACCACTCAAAACACAACCGCTCATATTAATCAGACAAACCTCGATGTGGAGAAGGACAGACTGACTTTATTCAAGTCGACGAATGAACCGCAACTATATAGAAAGAGATCAGGTGGATTCAGGTTGCTAGTCAAGGTCTTTCTGAGTAGTTCTTTGTCAAGTCAACTCCGTCGACATGTCTGATTTTGTTTTTTTGTTGGAAGTTTGGAAAACGGACTGCAAAGACGCCAGCATGACCCTAGAACACGCAAGCCCCGTAACGGCCGTCTGCCTTTCGGGCGGTATCTGCGTGACGGGAGAACTGACCGGCCAGCTAACAATTTGGCAGTTGCTATGGCGATCAGGCATAGGACAAATAATGAAGGTGAGTGTTTATTGTGTGTGTGTATGTGTGTATGCGAACTTTCTGCGGGCTCTTGGAGTACTTCCACAGGATGTCCCGGCGACGCGAGCCAATTACCAGCCTGTAGTAGTCATCCCTTAAGCTTCTAAAAGTGAAATAGCCAGGAACACGATTTGACCTTTAGAAACCGAGCTAATTTTCGTTTTCGGTACTTGAGGTGGAAGGAGCGGCAACGTAATCATTACTCGTAAAGTTTATTTTTATTTCGCTTTGTGCGACGTTTCTAACGATCTGAATGTTAACTGGCGTGAAAAGTAAGATGCAGAAGTCAGTTCTATCTAACCGTGGATTATGATATGCATCTGAACCCATAAATCATGGCCTGAATTTCGCAATACCTGTGTACACGGAACATATTCTCAGTATGCGTTGTCTTTCTATTGATAACGTCTCCAGCCCTCTGAAAATATGTCATTCCGGGAGAACTCACTAATTAAGTGGTAGTTCTTGTCTTTTTGGGGTTTTCGCAAATGAAAGTGTAAAAGTTCATTGTTGTGGCATTTTTTGAAAAATACGAGGCTTAATACAAGCAAAATCAACATTTTTGAAGTAAAATGCATTGGGTCAAAAGGTTCTACTTGAAATACCCTTCGGAGTTTCTTGTTCATGGACAAGACGAGTGTATTCAACATACGAACTAACTTTCTACAGACGGGACATAAGTGAAAGCCTCTCCACATCATACATAAAGCAAACTTTTTTTTACCGGAAAGTTCCTTCTTGCGGATATGGAAAAGTCGTGCCAAATGTCGGAGTATACCATCGAACTGCAAAGTGACGCGTGTCGCGGACTCGAACCGAGCACCTGATTGAGACCAGCCAGTTGTGTAGACCTCCACGCGACTGCCGCATGTTCAGAGAGGAACTCTTAAAACCCATCTATTTTTTCCTCGATTGAATTATGTAGAATATTTAAGTAATGATTGTAGGATGCTTGCTTCCAACATGAAGTAATTATAAGTTAGAATTATGGATGAGTTTATCAACAGGACCAAACGGAGTAGAGTAATTATCACTCCGCACATGGGATCCCCAGGAAGGAAATATGCAATGTGTAAGCCACCAGTAAACAGCCGTCTGATGGAGTTTCTCAAAGTACAAAAGAATAGAAAAAAGGCGACTTGAAGGTCCACAGGATGGAGGGGAGGTTCGCCAGGATCTCCAGAGGAAGATGCCAGACTCGACTGAAGTGCATTTTCAACCACAAAATTAAAGTCACGAAGATGTACCGACAAAAAGTGGGCAAAGATAGGGCCAAGGACCTCCAAATAACTTGAGTTAGCCTGTGGAACGCGTCATGCGTTGAATGGTGGTTTTACGGGTGGGGCAGCACACAGGACGGAAGGCAAGCAGACCCAGAAAATAGTTAAATTTTTGCGCGAAATTCTTATCGTAAGCTGTCGCTTGGCAGAGCAAGTGGGCACGATAATTAAAAAGTAGACAAAAAGCAATTTGCAAAAAATAACTAGTTCTGAATAAAGCACCTCTGGGAAGTTAACATTTAGTCATAAAGAGAAGGAGATTTCAAAGAATGCGAACGGAGAATAATAAGTGGTGTTTATAGTCAGTGAATTTTATTGTATATTTTTGGACTTCCCATCTACTTGAGGGGCCTACACTCCACCGTGGCCAAAGAATGTAACAGAACGCGACAAAACGAGCCGGACGAAAACAGACCCTGAACAGTATACGCATTTAGAGCCTAGTTTAGGGGAGATGTCAAAATAGCAGTGGATCCAAGATGAAACTAGCTACCGTTACAAATTCCCGTATTAACCCCAATTAGGGAAACCTCAGTGTCGGCAAGTTCAATTACTGTACAGAGCCCTGTGGATGGAGGCACTTAAGATCGGTCGCAATGCATAACCATCCGTGATTTTGCAGCAGTAATGAAGGATAAACTGCGCAGGAAAAAAAATGAACCGACAGCACGGCCATCACCCTATCAGCCATCACCAGTCAGTAGAAAAGAGAGGAATGTCCGGCAAGGGCCGCTGCATCATGATTCGGGGTTTAGCCGAGTCCCACGTCTACACCTCGGACGAACGAATCGCTGCAGACTTAACGCGATTTCAGGAACTCTTCAACAAAATGCTTCAGTTATTGGATGGAATGACCATTCTAAAGGACTTTCATCTTGGAAACCGTTCAAACGTCACTCCACAGACACGACCATGACCTCTAAAAAACTCCTGGACAGCAATAAACGGGCGAAACTAATCTTAAGTCGGGAAGGAGAGGGGTCGAGCACCGGAACATTTTGTTAATTGTACTGAGTTTTCGAACTCATGCAGGAGTTCATCGTCAGAGGCGACGAGGCGACACATTATCACAAGTGGCCGCTCACACCGACGAAATGGGTCGCGAGTTTAACTTTGCAGCCACCAAAATAACCGCCCACGCCAGAAACAAAACAGGCCGGGAATCGATTGAAGCTTGGGCCTCATATGAGAACTCAGCCGATCGATTTATCGATCTGGCGCCGGCGTACAAAGCGCTGCGCAGTCACCTCCACAGAACCGAACCCGTTTGACTGACCACACACCTGCACCAGTAGAGGGTGTCAAGGTTGTAAATGGATCTCTAATGCACTCTAAATCCGCATTCATGTATACTAACGCGCAAAGTGCACTGTCTAAAGTGTACAGACTCCGAAACCGTATCCGTGACCTCTACTCAGACGTTGTCCTGGTAACAAAAACAGATTGACAGGTTGACGGCGGGGAACTTGTACTGCCTGGATTCCAACCCGGCGAACGTCGACTGTTCTGAATCAGCACTCAACCAGCAGTTTCCGCGTACTGCTGGCGTTCACTCCTCACTTCACGTTTACCACTAGAGTTCGCGAAGGCCAGCAGATGGATTGACTTGACCTTGTGTTCACAAACTCGGCCGACTACATTGACATAGTTAATCGTCTACCTTATTAGGTCAGAGCACTCATCTGGCTCTCGTCTGGAACTTCACCCTATTCTCGGTGCCTACCCAACCGCCTGATCTCCAACTAATTATCTAGCATGGTGATTTTAAGCAGATGAGAAATGTACTTCGTTTTATGGGTTAAGTATCGAGGAAGTTTGGGGCCAAATAAAAGAGATGGTTCACCGATACAAGTTAAGATGCGAGTCCCAGGAACTAGTTGACATGAAGTAGAAGCGATCGCCGAAAATGAGTACGAATTACTGAACAAACATCCATAAGTTTCAGCGAAAAAACTGCATAATCGTCACGAACTACCGATAGGCGATCAGTAGCACACACATTTTGGGCTATTCACGTACTGCCAGTATTGTTGTTGGCCAAAAGCATATGCGCGTCTTTCGTAGATTTCGTTTCGCTAGTAGAGGTCCGAGAGATTATCTTATCGCTACAGCTTCAATGTGGTTGCCTGTATTCTAAGACGAACATTGATCGATTTCTCTTATCACTGACATGTTTTTTCTTCTATCCCCTTCCCATGTAATCGTACTGGACCGAGGAGGGTTTGTCGAAAGCGACAGTGCGTGACCTGACTCATGAAGGATGTCGGAATTTACGATTGATTGCAAATCACTCGCATACCGACACCATTTCATGAGTCCAATGTCTATGTTAATTGAGTACAAGTTTGAAAGAATTAAAAACAAAAGAAATATTAAAGGCAGTGTTGCGTTGTTTAGAAATGCCGATTTTTAGAAAATCACAATATCCCGAAAACGGCAGAAATGACTGTTATTCAGTAAACTTCGTTTTTAAACGCAAAGAATGTGTTCCCATACTAAAAACGTAGTAAATATGAAAGCACAAATAAAAACGTTTAACGGTAGTGTTTCTGTGAAAGCTACATCAAAATGTCCTTTGCAAATTAGCGTGATTTCATATATGGTGGTTTGTCAACAGCCTACATTCTGAGTATAGATTCAAAAACAGTTTTCCAGGGATTCATGGTATTTTTTACTCGGTTTAGTTAAATGAGACGGAGTTCAACATGAGAAACAGAATTTTTCTTGATTTCACTAGTAGAAACGTCCTAGGGACAAACGTTTTCATAAGGCGACATGCTGCCAGGCCGATCGATGTCTACTAAATTTAAATAAAACTGACAGGCGTGATCGTAAACATACCATTTTGTGTTCACCGAGAGAAAGTTTCTTCCGTTAAATAAATTTACACTTTCTGTTCGTTTTGGACTACGCTGAGTTTCACATCGGCCCTGAAATCTTGCTGAATACTTCATGATTTTCAGTGTTTTCACTCAATTGTCCATAAAGACAGTTTCTGAATTATACGTGTGTTAAAAACTCCAAAATACCATAACTCCTGAAGGCATTCACTGAATAAGCGAGTGTTTGGGAGCTGCTTTTCACAAAGAACGTCGTTTGGTCACACGTGGAACTCATTCAAACATCAAACTTCATTTTCGAAAAAATGGCTGACCACAACGAAATTCAGCAACGAATAGGTCAGCAATTCCTAATAAGTTACCTCTTTGAAAAGTGGTTTGATACTGCACTCCGTTGACGGATCTCTGTACACTTTACATTTTCACACAGTGAGGCCATAAAATTTGACACTTGGACATTTATTTCACGCTCGTATAGAATACTACTATTTTTCAACTGTGTTAACAAATGAATTTGCACGAAATTGCACGTCCATTTACGCCAAAACGTACTAATATTTTGCCTGATATAATAAAGTAAACACAATTTCTGTACAAGAAAAGGACAGTTCATTGATTGAATTGGATGAACAAACAAAATGCGCAACGTTAAAGACGTCCAGAAATTCTTGTATCAGTTCCCGTCATCAGGTTTTATGAGATAGGCCACGTACTGAACGTATGCTCACCACCTCGCCTTCTGACAGTCACTTTAGTTTAAGTTTTGGTTCATTTAGCCAATTTTGTCTGTTTCTACACTAGACTTTGACAGCGCACTCTGCTAGGATAAATGCCGTTCGATTTGACGAACTCTTCATCGCAACAGCATCTTCGGACGGGTACACGCGCATATGGGGCTTCGCCAGAGGAGTCAATCGATATCTCGCCAACTTCGGTCACCCAAAGTAAATTCGAACCCTCATTTGCTAAGCGCACATTCGTTTTTGCATAACTTTATTCAGTAAAACGACCAACCTTTCGTGGTAGAAGGACGCTCATCGATCGGCCTGTACGACCGGTGAACCCCCCCTTCCACCATTGATGTTCCCGATCGAAAGTGACAGGACAACGGGCCCGTGGCACAGTGGTTATAGGCGTCAGACTTCAAAATAAATGGTCACGACTTCAAGCCTCGGGTGTAGCACACTTGCGGGTTGGGCATAACTGACTGACGAGGGCTAATAAGCCAGAAATGACCATCCCGGTCTCCCTTGTCTTTGTCGGTAATACCATTCTGTTCATCCTTTAGTTTGGAATATCTTCTACACATTGGAAACTCGATATAAAGCTGGGAATCTTTGCTTCGAAAAATTGACAGCTTTAGTTCAACGAAATGAAGGTGTTTTCAGTGACACAGCAGTACGATGCACAAAAAGCATTCAATAGAAAATCCGTGCAACAGTTTGAGAAAGCACGTGTTAATTAGCGTCTGCCGTTGAGATTCTGTGCAGAAATTGAATCTTTCGCGGTAACAAATTACTCATGAAGAAAAAACCTTGATTGGAAGTTTGTGAACTACGCTTCTGGTAGAGTCTTTAGGGGGGGGGGCAACTTTTTTGACGTTAGCGCTAACATACAGTCCCCATTAAAAACTGTAAAAAAAACATCTGTTTGAGATTTCAGGAGCCAATGAAGGGCGGATTTTAGGCACTGAACTTCGAACAAGGCATAGAAAGTTATGGATGTGAGTAAACCTAGGTACGCTACAAAGTTAAAGGAAGTCTTTGTTATTCACTGTGGTTATTCACTTTTCAAGCAACAGTTCAACAACAGAGGACTTGCCATTAGCAATATCGCGCGTTTGATTCTAAACATCCATGGAAGTTAATAGCACCCTGCAACTAGATCATTAAATTTTTTATTCCTCTACATCGACCAATAACATGCCCTGTTTTGTTTTTTCTCCGACTCAGAGGCGTCTCAAGCATACATTATGAAAACCTCCGTCTGATAAGCGGTTGTTGGGATGGAAACATTCGCATCTGGAATATCCTCAATGGGGACTGCCAGCGAATCATCAGGGGCAATCAGAGAGGAGATCCCATTCTCTCCTTTATTGCACTTCCGAAGAAGTAATTTTTTAAACATGCAAATATCCAATCCGCTGATGCAGAAGAGTAGATATTTGGCCAATAATTTTACAGAAAAATGACCTTTCGAGAATTGACAACTGAGGACGGAAGTAGTTCCTGGTAAAATTATTACAGTGTCTTAAGCGTCTGACGAATGTACTTGCAGCAACACTAGTTCATGCGGTGAGGTGAAAAATCTTGATACTAAAAGTTCTAGGTAACTGTGAGCGAACTTTGATGTCGAATATGCAGGAAAATTATGTTGGGATACGGGAAATTTTCGTCCCCTTTTGCCTTGGGGCTTGATCTTAAACCACGCAGCCAGCCGCACAGTGAACAGCAGTACAGACAGTAGTATAGTCAGCCATCCTTACCCGAATCAGGTTTGCGGAGGCCTGAGCCCCGATCGCGCGTGGTTTGGTCGTCGAGCGTTATTAAGTCCAACGCTCTACTAATTGAGCAACGGGCTCGCTATCGTATCGATTGAGATCAAGAATATTGGCCATACTGGAAGTGTGTTCACCAACGGCGGCTGCGGAACATGCTTGTCTATTATGCCCCCAGACAATCACACAGCGACTAGCAGTATAGCCAATAAACTTGAATAGCACTAGAAAAGACCATACGCAAACTTTGCAGTCATAATTCCAGAGAGATGGCATAAGCTTTACTGGCGTTGAACAGATTATCTGCTAAAGAAGTCGTGGGTTTCCAGATGCCACTAAGACCGGCTGTTGTTATATGAAAACAAAGCTACTTATAACATATTATACTATTAAAACAGTCTGCCACTTATAAGTAGCACAAATGAGCAGATCTACAGAGGCAAACAAACTGTTCAAATGGCGCCTACTGTCGGAAGATTTTTCAGTCTTGCTGTATTGGTAAGGCGGATTTAAACGTCTCCGGTCAGCTATGGCCTGACATCTTTTGGTAGGAAAACGGTTTGCACAGACCAGAGACAAGGAAACCTTGCAGTTTACTCAGCTCTTAAACTTTTTTTGTGCTCCTGAACGTGCACCAGACACCTGTATAGTCTTCCGTTTGAAATCCTGGAGATCAAGGACTACGCAAAAAGCATAATATTCCAGGCCTTTATTCGTGCAAAATGTGTTCAGCTAAAAATATACAATCAAAATTCCATCAACCGCGAATAGTGCTCGGACACACTGATATCACTCTCATCCTCACAGCTGACAGTAGTCCTCATACTGCAGACGTGTTTAATTGTTTCCGAGTTGTTCAAATATTAGTTTCAGACAAAAATATATATGACAGGGAAAGATGGCGACCAAAGATCGCACAATACAAAAAATAAATGTACTTACAACTTCACAAGCAATATTCAAAATAAATCAACATAGCTCGGCAATATTCCGCGATCATAAGTGAACCGAATTCTGCTGTGCAAGTCGCCTTGGAGGCCGTCAATGAGTAAAAGTATAGCTAGTTGACTAACTGATGTGATATTTCTTAAATATTGAGTTATACTAAACCCTAAGGTTCATCCAGCTAAAGCATGAGGGCTTTTGGATTTGCGTTTTTGTTAATAAAGCCACTGTGTAAGCAGCCAAGATACATCATTTGTGCTGTTGGGCTTACTAGCAAAGTAAAGAAATGTTCATTGCTTATCCTCTATCATGGAAAAACTCCTGCATCTCTACGTAAACGCCATGCCTTGAGGAAAGTGATTTTGTCTTAAATAATTTTCCGGGCACTGCGTAAATTCCATACACTGTAATTCAATCAGCCCCTGCTTGTACATTGTCTCCTAATTGCTCCTTTACTAAACAGACGGAAATCACTCGAAATAATCCACCATTACTGCTGAATCACAAACCTACGTATTTGCAACCTTTGCCATATTTGTCTTTTTTCCCATGTAGACTAATTGTGAACACTCAAAGTGGCGTACTTCTCCTGAACTTTGACGTCGCACACCCCGAGCTTGAAAATTTGACTGATCAGACAATTCCAGCTGAAAACGCAGTTCCCAGGGTAAAAGTACCACCGCCACCACCACCAAGTTCGCTCAAGTTGGCACCAGAAATAAGGAGACTGAGGGCTATCCTAGTAGGAGGTCCCGATTACCGCATCCTGCAACGATCGAACACTGTACAGGGCCGTTCGCATTCCACAAGCGGCAAAAAATCGACAAGTCCAAGCAGGACCACTCCTGCAAGCTATGGAAACGCCAGCTTCGGCCTAAGGATTTCACCATCACTTCGCGGTACAAGTCGAACAACGAGGTCAGTTCGTGTGTGCGTCGCCGGTAGTGTTAGGGTTTTTCTCCTATTAATTTTGTTGATTTTTGTCTCTAGAACTCCCTTTGGCTGAACTAGTAAGGCAACATATTTCTCTGCGGCGCCATATCACGAGCCAGGTCTTGTAATGCATCGCGGTGCACCAGAACATGTTGAAAGCATTTTATCTATCTTTCTGGCAAAGTATCCGAAGATTTACTATGTGTTTTCAAATAGACGACGTTTGTGCCTGTGCTCCGGGTTTTAGTATGTGAAAGCGATCCTTAAAAATGAGTCTAAAAATTGAAAGTCCCTAATCCTCCAATTGCTACCACATCAACTTCCAATGTCCCCGATAACAGCTTACTGCGAGAACCAGGACGCAACATAGTAAACATGGTAGTTAATTCATGTAAGGCCTGATATCTAACTCCCAAAAGTCCCCGTAAATCTCTTTCGGCATCTTAAAACGCTTGTGCGGCAGTTAGGGAAGAGCAATCTGACAACTGCTGCCTTTAAAGGCGTTCCTGGTCGATGCCAATTCAACGACTTTAGAAGGAATTTGGGGTTTAAAATCACGATAACAAATGCAGCATTTGAGTATAGCCTATTAAATGGGGCCAAAGAGGGACCTTAAAGTGGACTTTTGCACGCCACTGTGTTTAACTGCGTACGCGTTCAAAGGGAGATGCAGTTGTTCTTTTAGTTAAATTTATAGGCGTTTTAGCAAATTTTCATAATCCGTCGGCGGAGTTTAAAAACACGAGAGCAAGCGCTTGTCTTGTGTACAGCCAGCGTCCTAGCAACCTGCGTTACGGGGCGCCGAGCAGGAGCTGTGAGTTTAATTAAATTTGCATTAAATTACCCGCCTAACTTAGACCTATATAATTCACCAAATGCGATACAGCAAGCCAACTGTCCCAGCAGGACCTATTAGATAATAAATCTAGAAACCATCAGATGACCACCAGTCTAGCCTGTTAAATCGGTGCTTTTTGGCAGAATGGGATTATGATCCCGGCTCATGGTCGGGATATCTAAGACTAGGTAGTTAGAGCTTTGGATGTACGTGAACTTTGCACTGGCTGTTATGGTCTTGGACCTCAGCGGGTCCGCCGCACTGGTTTGCGATTTGAAGGACCTACATCTCCCCTGAGAACGAAGACACGGTCGAATTGCAAGAGGGTTTAAGATCGGAACGTTTTGGGTCGTTTTTTGAATAAACACATTCCGATGATGATACTGACTCCAGCACCTAGATAGACAATGAAAATTCGAACAGCCTCGATGCTTCAGTACAATGCGTGACCTATCTCATGAAATGATGGTTGAAATTCAGAAATGCGTTTCCGATTAGGAAGGATTACCTGGTCGCGGTTGTGACATTGATTATCTTAAGGCATACTCTGATAACATTTTGGACTCGGCAGGATGTCGGCTTTTAAATGCACTTCTTTTCAATCTCCTTTAGAAAGCGTGCTCGGTAAAAAATGACTACTTAAGTAGCATGCATTTTTCCTATTGATTTTCGATGGTTTTGAAAATTTGAATATATCTTATAGAAACCACAAACAAAAATGTGCTTTCTTTTAGTCAATCAATAGAGAATCACGTCTTCTTTACATTTTATACTTAGGGAAGGAGTATAATTAGGTTTTAAAAAAGTTTCTAATTATGGGACTTTTTAAGACCGCGTTATGTCCATTTACACAGCATCGTACCTGGCTGTTTACCACTGCTCATCATGAAATGTACAACATGGTCTGCCTCCATTGCAAAATTTTATGGACCCTGTATGATATCTCTTTAACGACAGAAAAATATGGGATTTTCTTTACGCGGAACGCATGCACCTTGTAGATTGTAATCACTAAGCGCTAATGTAAAGAATGATCAGGCTCCAAATTTTTCGGCAATTAGAAAACTTTTTTAAAACCTAATTATACTCCTTCCTTAAGTATAAAATATAAAGAAGACGTGAGTCTATATTGATTGACTAAAAGAAAGCTTATTTTTTGTGGTTTCTATAAAATATATTTGCATTTCCAAGACCATCGAAAATCAATAGGAAAATTGCATGCTACTTAAGTAGTCATTTTTTACCGAGCACGCTTTCTAAAGGAGATTGAAAAGAAATGCATTTAAAAGCCGACATCCTGCCGAGTCCAAAATGTTATAAGAGTATGCCTTAAGATAATCAATGTCACAACCGCGACCAAGTAATCCTTCCTAATCGAAAACACATTTCAGAATTTCAGCCAACATTTCATGAGATAGGTCACGCACTGTACACATAGAGTGAGGATAAGAACTATTTAAAAGTACATTTGCTCCTTTTTATATTATAAAAGTGAAACATTACATTATCAAAACTTGATGACATCTTTTGGAGGCATTCTAGCTACTCTATATCTAAATAATAGTGTACGGGGAACTCTCTCAGTTCTAAAGCGTTTTGAAGAAAACAGCTATTTAGCAGCTTACGAAACTTCAACGTCTCGTCCAAATGAAACAAGCTAATAAGCAAACTTCCCACAGCGCTCACTCCTTTGATTTCATCGGTGAGGTGTTTCCACGCATAAAGTACGCCTCAGCATCAGCGTGGACGAGCAACCGGCAACAGCAGCAGCCTCAACACACACGGCAGTTCGACCGCCGATTCCGACGTTGCCCACCGTGTGCACAATAGCATGCTGAAGCAGGCACACTGACTCATGCGTGATTTAGCTTATAGTGATAGTTGAATCGCACAGCATCTACCGCACATTCTCTTCCTCCTCCTCCTCCTCCTCCTCCTCCTCCCCCATCTGGACTCGGTGCCAAGACAGGGTCAAGATCAGCGGTGGGGAAGGTGGCCGGTGGATGGCACGATCGAGCCAGCACCTTAGCACTCCACTCCACATTCCCCTGGTTCACACGGAAAATCACCGGGTTTAGACCAACAACAACAATAGAGGGTTGCAGGGGACCCATTGTGCGCGACGTCTGCCGGCAACCGGGTCCGCCACCGCCCCCTGAATTGTTATTGTGCGCAGGTCCGATAACGCCTGCCAGAATCCGGTATGGCTCCCGTGTTAGTCCAGAGCATCTAACACCTGGTCACAAACACATACACACATGATAGTTCGACCATCGATTTCGATGATGTCTACAGACTGCATTGTGGGAGCAGGGATGATGACTTACGCAGGGGTTTATAGTGCCAGTTGACTTGCGTAGCATCTACCTATACTCTCTCTTCCTCCTTCGCCTGAGCCCGATGCCAGGACAGGGTCAAGAAGACCGGAGACGGGGGAGGCCGCAATCGGATGGCTCGGACGGATCCTCGCCTTGGCGCTCCACTCCGCACCCCCTGGTCCACACACAAATGACCAGGATTTTTACCGCCACAATAATGGAGAGCGTGGCAGTGATCGCAGTTGTGCGACGGCTGTCGACAACAGGGACTGCCAACGTACCCCCTAGATGTTGGCATTTGCTATTGCGCGCAGATAGCGCCTGCCGGACTCCGATGCGGCCCCCGGTTGGTCCAGCGCATCTAACACGTGGCCCGTTTGGAGGACACACACACAGGACAGTTCGAACGTCGATTCCCTCGATGTCCACCATTTCCTCAATAACGGGCGGTGATTTACACGCGAATTATTCTATTGTGACAGAATGCTTGCGACGAATCTGTTGCGCTCCCTCCTCCACCACACGGGCCAAGCATCAAGACGGAGTTAGGAAACCGGAGGTGTGAGAGGCCTCAAGCGGCTGGCACAGCCTAAACTCGCACCGGTGCGTACAACCATACCCATCTAGTTCATAACAGTCGCTGAACAGGATTTCACACAACAAAAATAGAAGTGGGTGGCATGGGTCCCAAAGAGCGCGGAATAAACCGTAAACTGGACCTGCCACTACACCGAAAGTGTTAGTATTTGTTTTGAGCGCGCATTTCCGACCACACCTACTGGATTATGATCCAGTCCCTGTTGGTCCAACACATTTGCGGCGTCCCCGTTTTGAGGACACAAGATATATATATATAGGCAGAATGGTATTACCGACAAAGACAAGGGAGACTGGAATGGCCATTTCTGGCTTATTAGCCGTCGTCAGCCAGCCATACCTAAGCCCGAAGTGTGGAACACCCGAGCCTCGAACTCGCGACCTGTTGGTTTAGAAGTCCACGCCTCTACCCACCGGGCCACGAGCCCGTTGTCCTGATCGGTTGTATATTCCCGATCGAAAACCGACAGGGCAATGGGCTCGTGGCCCGGTGGGTAGAGGCGTGGACTTCTAAACCAACAGGTCGCGAGCTCGAGGCTCGGGTGTTCCACACTTCGGGCTTAGGTATGGCTGGCTGACGACGGCTAATAAACCAGAAATGGCCATTCCGCCACATATTCAAGTTTGATGAGGCCGGAATTCTCGCGAGAAGGGATAATCGCGTGAGCCGCGAGTTTCTTGAGTCATGGTTTACGGGACCTCAGTCAATTAACAAGTGCAACGACATCATCACTCCGCATTCCGTGCTGAGGCAAAGGCTGGCCAAATTAATTAACTATTCGAGGAGCGTGCAAGCCGGTGAGCCAGATGGCCGAGCAATCATCACGTCAGCATCCAACACGAGTGATGAGATTTCAGCAAATAACAACTTACATGCCGGCCATCAAGCAATTAGCGCACCAGCCGGCAACGATTCTTGATGAAGGGGAGCGCGGTTAATTGCTATAGGTATGCGGTAGCATAGCCACTGCATCCTATGAATACTGCAGCTTCCTGTGCACGAGTCACCCTTTTCTGCCACCGTCTCTGATAATGGACTCAAGTGAGATTCCGAAACGTCAGGTGAATAAGGCCTTTGTTCCGGCGATCGCTTCTTCTTCTTCTTCTTCTTCTTCTTCTTCTTCTTCTTCTTCTGATAAAGTTAATCCTGTAACTCGCATGTTCGCTTGTATCGGCTTTTCGCTTGGTCTTATGGATTGTTGCCGTATGCTGTTGTGGACCAGAGGGATAAGGTCTGAGTAACACATTGTTCATGACTACGCTGTAATTGCGACACACTGGTTTGGGCAACTAGAAGGATGAAACGTCCCCACCCTTAGAGAGATCAGTGCGACCAGTGCATGGCGAGTTTGTCGACTAAGAGATGATTTAGAAAGCATCTTTCTTGAGGCCCCCACAGTTGCTGTGAGTTGTCACACTAGCGAGGGAAACAGCAAGTGTTAATCTACTCTTACTTGATTTCTAACATTACAGCAGACAATCTGCCCTTAAAGATACTCGTAGCATTGGTGTACAAACGTACATTTACTCGGAGAGTGATTTTGAGAGCGATGCTGAAGAGGGCGCTTCGGGCAGCGACGAAATTCCGCCCGCGAGGGAGGATGGACACCTGTTTCCACTCAACGTGGGAAATGTCCTGAAAAATTACTCTCAACTGTTGGACTACTCAAAGACTGTCAATTTCGCTTCGGTTGGGGAAGTGACCAAGCCTACTCTCCCGTGGAGGCCACAGTCCGCATCTGGGCTTTATGAAACCCCTCCGCACAAGGAAATCAGACGGGCTGGGATTCTAACACCAAAGGGGCCATCTATGGAGAAAAATGAAGTTTCGAAGAAGACGGTAAGCTACTTTCACTGAGTGCTCAGAGGGCCATTGCTGTCCTGTTACTATCGGTGCTGAGCTAACCGTTTGCAGAGTGATTTGGTTGTAAAACGCTGAAGATCCCGCCGAATGCTATTTCATTTCCACCAAGATCCAATACGGAAACCTTTTTTCGCCTTCATTGCTTGTTCTCAACCACCAATTAGCAAATTTATTTCAGACAACGGAAGTTGTAGGCAAATTTAGACCAGATGGACTAAGAGCATTACAATTTGGGAGTCGATTACGGAAATTTTTCCAATAGGTACTTCTGGAAAAGATGACTGCAATTTGGGTGTCGTTCAGGAAAGTCCAACACAAGATGAGCGGCGTTTATTTCGAGAATGTAGCCTGAAAAATGATGCTTTGCGTTGTTGGGGTAAAAAGGGGTGGGGTGTCGGCTGCACGACCAAGTTGTGAGCATGGTAAATGAATGCCTGCACGTCCGGTAAGTCTACGGTGACGATGCGCTCACACGCCGTCCAATCGATCGACACACACGGCCCGCGCGTGTTGATATCGTGCGAGCCACCACAGGATTGGAGGGATGCTCAGCCACTCAGACGAGTCAGAAGTCCATTTGATATGCTAACAGCTCAAGGACATGACCTTATTGGCTCAATTCCAGTCCGGCCTTAGAAAACGCTCTTTGTACCTTTTATCGCTCGATTTGCGCTGTTAGAACTTAGCTATTGATTTTCTGTCCTTCCACCTTGCTGTCCACTTATCATTTGGGGAATGGACCTCGGAAGGCTGTGAAATGGTTACTAGCAAGGCAGTACTACAAGAGCATAGCAAAAAGAACTGCCTGAAGACCTTACTCAAATTCCTTCAATTCAATCAAGGGACTTAGCGAAGCCGTAGTCAACATCGACGGATCCGGAACACTGTCATCCACACAGCGAAGACTAAGACGAGACTCGAGACACCCAAGAATGCAATGTCATGAACCAGCGTCCCTGATAACCTGTCCATACGGTTATCTTACATTCAGGGCTTCTAAGAAACTTTCGGATACACAACGATGTCATTATGACCAGCCCATCTCTAACACAAAAAACGTCGCCAGCCTAATCATTCAAGACAACCTTCGCGCCCCAGTCTCAGTTTCCCTCTAGTTGAACATTTTTGTACCCACGAAACGGGACTGTCACCAGTACGCATAGTTCACGCATCAACAGGTATTTCCCTACCCAACCGCGTAGCACATGCACATACGGTAGGTGGGCTAACTCCTGGGAGGTCAGCCGTTATTCCGAAATGCGTTTTCGTTTCGAGAAGATTAATTAAATAGGATTGTAAAACTAATCATCATGTAGTGTAATTCTAGAATAATTCCCTTACCGAAGGATGCTGGCGTTCGAATAAACTTCTTTCCGGTCGCATGCAATAATTAGACTCTGCGAAAAATGACTACTTATACGACCTGCATTTTTCTCATTGATGTTCGATACCTTTAGAAGTACAATTATATTTCATGGAAAACATGCATAAAAATATTTATTATTTTACTCATTCAGTAGGAAATAACGTTTTCTTTAAATTTTATACACGAAAAAGGAGTAGAACTCAGTTTTCACAAACTTTTCTAATTCCCGAAAAAATTTTGAAATCGAACTGCCGTTAGACTTGCATTCGGGGTTTTCAAACTACAAGCCGTGAATTTTCCGTGCGCGGAAAACAATGCATTCATCAACGGTATTAGGAGGGGAGTGCATGGGGTTCATGAAATTTACCAGTGGATTTGAACCATATTGTAAACTTTAAGAGCAAAGTTAGTTAATGAAGAGATACGACGTTTTATGAGCGGTCATTTCGCGGTTTAAAAAAAGTGCACAATAAGAAATTGAATAACACCGTTTCTTTAAGTATAAAATTGAAAGAAGACGTAATTATCTGCTGAATGAGTAAATGAATAAATATTTTTTCTATGTTTTCTATGATATATATTTGCATTTTTAAGGGCATTAAAAAGCAGTGGAAAAAGTAAATCCCATATAACTTGTCATTTTTTGACGTGTGGTTATTGCATGCGGCCTCAAAGAAGTTCATTAAAAGGCCAGTATCCGTCAGTAACGGAATTACTATAGAAGTACGTTGCATGATGATTAATTTTGCAACCCTATTTAATTAATCTTTTCGAAACGAAAACGCATTTCACAATTTCGGTTGACATTTCATGAGTTAGCCAACGTACTATACAAATACTCTTAGATAATACAATATTATTTTGACCACGCGCGTTTACGCTTTAGTTATCGCGAAAACATATTATCTCGCGAACATTGCTGGCGTTATTACAACGGCCGAATTATCGTAAGTGGCAATGTGCCCATCTCACTTACGCGAGCATGTTGTTTGTACTACTTTTTGTGAGGTCTGATAATGTGAAGTATAGGAGCAGTGTGTTTTCATCACAAGTAGACGAAGATCCTTGCGTCGTGTCAGTCCCTCAGACCAATCCTCCCCACCAGTCAGCTGAGGTACTATCTTCTGACACATGGAAGAGAGATGAGGCAGCATGGGGGCGTTCTGACTTCTACTTCCTAATAATGAGCCCGCGTATCACTCCCTTTAGTAGATCCAATACACTTTAATCTATCAGAAAGCCACAAAAGTATTGATACGGAGTGCTGCTGGCTAGTGGGATAAGTCATTTACCCTTTGGGACGAGAGTCTGACTAGAATGGCTGCTTCTTAGGGTGGCCCTCTTGCCATCACTCACTTCTGTGACCTCTGAAGCCCAGTGTGGCACTGGTTATACACAGAGTCTGCGTTGCGATAGCCGGTATGCTTAGTATGATTTGCGGTCGCTTTGACAAGGGTACACGTGTGCGCGGAGGAGTGAAGGGAGAGCGAGATTGATCTCGCCAGGTGTTCGACGCTAAGTTCCTCATCATAAACGCCCAGATGAACCTTAAAAGTGCTCTGACAAGTTAAGGGTATTCGGTCAGAATGTAGTCAACTAACGGACTAACTTGATCTCAGGTGGGACTATGGGTCAGGTTGCAACTGCTCTTCCTTATATAACAACACTGTTTTATTGAGGACACGTGCGGGCATAGCCGTTACAAGTACTCCGATTGCGTGAAACAACCGAGGCCGCAAATTACCGTGGAGATCAACGATGTCGGAGTGACGCAGGGGAACAAGAGACGGATGCAGCTCCACAGCCCGGAACTGGCAACATATGCATCATATACTACGAATAGTGTTCAAAACCCCCAACTCTCAGAAGATGACCAAATGGAACCAATGCTCCAAACGCCAGATTGCAAATAAGCCTCTCTCGCTGAACGATTTTGCTTCTTCTTTCGACTGTAGTTGAAGAGCACGTTTCCATAGCAGTGAACGCATTTATTAATTTTTTTTATGCTTTTCATCAGACCCGAGTTTAACTCAGTTTTTATGCTCAGAAAAAATATGCCAAGGGTTTTTTCCTTGTTAGACTTAATGTTTATTTGTCCTGAACTTCATATCTCTTAACAAACTTATTCCAACTACTTTACGTATGTGACTGCGTATCGAAAACCCATCTGGTTCTTGTACATGAATACTATTTATGTTTGAGAATGCAGAGTTGCAGGCAATCCCTGTAAAGTTGTTCTTAGCCACAAAGTTGAGATTTGGCTAAACATTTTCTTGGATTACGTAATAACTCAGTTCAGGTCTTCAGACCCGCATAACTACGGACCTTCGCTGTTTAGAAACCTCAGCCGGACGAAAGGCCGTCCCTGACCTTCCTGGCGCAAACCACACGCAGTGCGAAGATGCTGGTTTCTGTAGCGGCTGAAATTCACAGGAAACGCGCTAGGCAAGCCCAAGGTTGGTGAACATTCATTTGGCAGAGTATCGTGTCGTTGCTTTCGTTAGCGACGAGGCTAACGTTTGGATCCAATCAAATTCATGAACATATGAGATATAAAGTGTTGTAAACGGAATAGGATTACCGACAGACTTTAACATTTCAGAGTTTGTTCATTTTCCCAAAGGACCCATTTTTCTTTGACATATGTATAGATATACATGTATAGGCAGTATGTCATTACCGACAAAGACAAGGGGGACTGGGATGGCCACTTTAAGCTTCGTCAGTCAGCCGCACCCCAACCCCGAGGAGTGGAACACCCGAGTCTCTAACCCACGACCAGTTGGGTTAGAAATCCCCCTTTGCCCTTGCACATATCCAATCGCAACCGAAAGGGCAACGAGCCCCTTGCTCAGTGGTTGGGGATGTTGGACCTCCAACCAACAGGTCGCGGAATCCAGCTCCAGGTGTTGCACAATTCAGGGTTTGGTATGGCTGTCTGAAGACTGCTGATAAGCCAGAACTGGTCGTTATAATTCCCCGTGTCTTTGTTGGTAATGCGTTTCTGCTTGGCATTGCACGGCTGCTGGTGGGGCTCGAGATGTGTAAGTTTCGTAGCGCTATCGATGAGCTCCCTCAACCATATTGAAGACTCTTTGTAAACAGAGTTTATTTGCAGCAGTAGATGTAGGATTTCCTCCGGGCTTCATTTCATTGGCCTGGGTAATGAATGCTCCTAAAGAGAGAGATTTAGATCACAAGTTCAAGTTAAAAGAAACTACGTGGGCGCTGTTGCATGTCTGAATGCGCGGAGTAGAGCCGCAAGTTATGTCAGATCAAGTTGGATGTTGGTATGCGATTAAAAACGTTTTGACCGCCCCCTGTCTACCATCTGGAATGAAAGTACCACTTGTTTAGTTGGGAATGTTTTGATAGGATTTCGTGGATGATATAAATTTACTTGCAGTTCATATGCTTAATTAAAAACAGTTTCATTTTATCAATACTTTTTATGACATGTTGTCTTTAACTGATAAAAGTTCTCTTATCAAAGATGAAGGTGATTGATACTAGAAAACCTTTAGGGTACTAATTTTGCTGCATCTTTAGTCGTGACTTCGCATGGAGATCGATTCTGTTTTCTGCTTGCCCATTGTCGTCAACATATTTATTACAGTCTCCCATAATCACCAGACGTTTGCTTCAAATAAACTCCTTGCATAAAATTTGTAAAACGTTTGGATAACTTAAAACGTCACGACAATTTCAAACCAGAAAAGTAATAACAGATAATACAAAAATCAAAATTGCTGCTTCCGAAATTCAAAGTTAAGGGCCGAATTTCTTAACAACGGGCATATTTTATGAAACTGGTCTTTATTTCTTCTAAGAGCAACGACAAACTTCTTACTAGCGACTTTTTCAAAAGAAATTTTTACACGTAGCTGGAACTCTTTATGCCTCAGTCATACGCTTACATGCTCGAATCACGCTGGGGACATCAAGTACGTCTCTCTGAGTACTGACTTGAGAAAATCATTGTCATCAGTTATTGCATCCTGACTGACTCCTGACCAAAAACTAAGCTGACAAATCCTATGGACCTGTGTTACATATTACTCACTTCCGCCATCTGAATTAAATAGTTGATAAATGTGGTTGTGTAGCCGTATCTGATGAGTACAATATTGTTGATCTACTCAATAATTTTGAGTTGGTGTGGTTAAGTTGGCGTGGTGTTACTGTGCGTTGCGGTGTGTGTGTTCTGTTGGCGGCCTTGTTTCTTTGTTGTCGTGTCTACCTTTTTTAGCCCAATGCCGGCGGTCCTTCTTGACATTCCGCCTGTCGCCTCCTTCTAAATGTCGTGCTGGATGTCTTAGGGCAGGGTTTAGAACTGTTATTAAGGATTAGGGGCTGGTTAGGGGCAAGGGTAAGGGGGTTAGGGTTTATGCTTAGCGGTTAGGGTTAAGGGTCAAAATTATGGGCTATCGTTGGGACTTGGGGCAATTATCTCTCAACTACTCTAAATACGACCGCGAATACCCAACAACTTTTTGCATGCACTTACTTGACCTCGTCGCTTGCGCGTTTCGCGGCCACACCTGTAAAAACCCCTATTTCCACCCGTCCCGTCTTACAGGTGGCCGCGATTCGTTTATCTCAACTGCGGCTAAATAATCACATCTGACTAAATAGTTATGGCCACTTGAGAAATGTCACTCAAATCCGACGGGTAAATACCCACTGAAGAAGCATTCTTAACCGTTTATTGAGCGCTGGGGAGACAAATTAGAAACAGGTTTTCTTAGTTAAGTATAATCAAAAATTTGGGGATCTCTGCGGAGCTTGTTCCACAAATAATACTTGAGGGTTCATTTACATCGCGGAAAGAGAGATTGCTGTTGGGACCGTGGCATATAATGCAAACGGAGTCTCCATTTCCCGATAGAGCGAAAATTTCGCCAGCTCGCTCTATCACCATGCAAATCTCTAGCCGCCATCTTCGGAATTAATCCTACCTGACGACCCCGCTATCGCAAGCAATGCCATCTACTCACGGAATGAGCACAGCGTCGGTGACTTGCGAGTGAAAAGGCCTACAGTGAAGCGAACTGCTCATCGTCTGCCCCACTCTAACCTCCCTCACCTGATTTGCTCCCACACTAAGATAAAGTAGAGTTGATTTAGGTTCAGTAACTGATAAGGCCAGTCAGTTCGTCTACGCATGCCGCTCATGAACTGGTCCCCACTGCCAGTAGCAGGTTCCCATGAGATCAGCTAGGATTTCGTATGCGTAAGGATGCCAGGAGGGCTACGTTACGACGAAGTCATTACAGTCTGCCTCTCAGTTATGAGTAGTACAGAGCTATCCTGTCCGATAAAAACTTTCTATGTCACTACTCTTAGTGTACCGTTATAGATTCAAGGCGGCGGATATGCTGTAGTGAGGGATGTGCTATTTTTGGCAAGCGCTTTTGTGCTGGAAGAACATCTTGAAAGCCGTCGACTGCCTCCTCATACCACTCAGAGTTGGATTTGCAAACAGACCGAAGGCAACAATCAGGTCATGAGCTCGAAGGACTTAATGCCACGGCCAGAAGCCTCTGGAGATGGTTACCGGATCTCGCACATCTATGGACAAGGTAACTACGTAGAAGAAACTGGGAGACTACTGTGGACGTGAATGATCGAGCACGAGAAACAGTGAGGAGGAGTGGCGCCAGCTCCCAGATAGCGGCCCATTCCACGGGATCCAGTCACGCCTTCAAGTTTGATAAAGCCGAAGTTCCGCGTGAACGGTGTATTGCTTGCGTCGTGGTTCTCCGGCCCGCATTCAGTTAACAAGTACAATGACTTTAAACCTACATATTCTGTGCCGTGACTTCGTCAGGGCAAAATTTCTGGCCATGCGGGAAGGGTGCGGACGACCAGCAGTCACGGTGACGGGGAGCAAGATTGCAGAGTAATCGTCACACCGAAAATCGATAAAAGTGATGAAATCATATCAATTAACATCTAGGATACATACTAACAAGCAATCATTGCATTATTTACAAGCCCGAGGGGTGAACAGGAATACTGCCAAATAGAGTAGGCACGTGGTTGCCTGGTAACCGCGCTCTATAAATAGGGCGCACCTTTTGCCCCTACCACCCTTTTCTGAGACTGTCTCTAGTATTGGGCACGAGTGACGATCCAAAACTTCAGGTCGATAGTCCTCTCGTTCAAGCGATTGGATTTATCTTTTCTGAACTGTTTTCTGGTACGCATCTATTTGTTCCTATTAGCAGTTTGCCAATATTTCATTAGGAAGGACTCCTTGCTTCTACCTTCTCTCTCTAATTCGCCAGTCGACTGTCAGGCAAGTGATCGCGTGGTATCCCTACTAAAAACCTTGCTGAGGGACAACATGAATACTGGCGTAAATCAACCAGTGATGAAAACGCCTTTGGCGCGGAATTTCCACGACATCATTAAGCGATCACAGCGACAGGGGCCTATAACCATCACGCATATCGATTGTATTCCTAGTGCATAATTAATCCCGGATCGCCATGTCATGCGGTCAGTTGAAACTTGGGATCCAACTCACATACGGTTTATCTGCTACTCACTGGAACTTGGACTCTACGTGACACATTATTTACGCAAAGGGCCGTCAAAAAGCCAATTTGAGGGGATTGTTGTGCCCTAGAATTTATTTATAAAGATAAAAGACGTTCCCTAATATCAAATTGGCCGATTTATCGCTTAAAACGAATCCGTCCCTTCAGGTATCGCGTTGCAAATCTGATGCACTAAGAGAGTTTCTCGGGTAGGGGGGGGGATGGGCTCTTGTTCAATTTTCATTAATGATTGGATATTGCAGGCTCATGTTTTTATTGCTAAAATACGCCTACTTATTTCATTTTGGCAGGCCTGTTATATCCGGACGACGTTTCTGACTTCGCTTTAGACAATAACTAGACGTAAAGTTAAGACCGACGTTGGGGGTGGGTTAAAGATCTGTTCTAGGGTGACGTTTGCTGTCACATGCCGCCTGCCTAAACCGACCTTCTTTAACCGATGACCTTAGATTGACTGTTTTTTGCCCGTTTACATGGCCTTATTCGCAGTTTTCAAATTGCGCGGTCTCTTTCACGAACCTTTGAAGAAGTGAAACAGACACATGACAGAAACACAAGTTTTCTCGAGTCGTTCCGCAGATTCCGTTAATTGCTGCATCTATCTGACGTCCCAATAAAACTGGTATAAACATCCCTCCCACACTACAAGAGTCATGGACTATGGTTTCTAGGCAGGCTTGAAGTAGTAACACTCACGAAATTTTCAATATAAATCATTACTTTTCGAACAAGAAGAAGATGGGCTCACCGGAACAGGTTTTTTAGATGCTGACGTTTCGAAGATCTTGGTCGACTCTTCATTGTCAAAGCGTAAGGTGACCTTAATCGACCATAAATCCCAAGTGGCATGTCATGTTGGTCGGCCTCGTGCTGACCGGTTTTTCTCTCCTCTCGCTGCCTCGGTCTCTCGGGGGATGATTGAAAGGCCTTTTGCCTGCGTGCGTTGTGAGTCACTATTCAGTCGGGGGGAGGTGATTGAACCAGTGTCAGGTGGTCGGTCTGGCGGCTCTTGTTCTTCTACATCGAGTAAACTAGCCGTTGGGCAGTCTTGAGTTCGGTGTGGTTGTTTGGTCATGAGCTCTATGATGTGATGACGCAGGACTGCAAGCTGCATGGAGGTCTATATGCCGGTTGATGGAGTGGGCATCGGAGAACCACGCCTCGAGAGTTAGCCGTTCTGCTTTTGTGTTGCCCCGGCCTAAGATGGTAGCTCGCTGGAGATTGAAATTATGCCCAGTTTCTTCGACGTGTATTGCTAATTGAGATTTTGGGTCTAACCTCCGAGTAGCCGATTTGTGCTCTTGTAGGCGAGTCTGCAATTTCGCACGGCTTGTCCCACATATTTTAGTCGCTCTCATCACAATTTATTTTGTAGATAACTGCTGAGGTTTCGGCGGATGGCAATGAGTCCTTAGGTTGCATCAGACGGCGTCGAAGTATTGCCTGTGGTCGGTGGGCTATGCCTACTCTGGCAGGTTGTAACAATCGAGAGACCGCCTAAGTGAGACCTTTGACGCAGGGAATGGCCTTCCAGACTTCAGGTCGCTGCCCATTTGTCCGTCGTCTGCGCACTCGACGTTTGTTTCTTTCGATAAAATATCTGGGATAACCAGTGGTTGCAAATGGGTTCTGAAGATACATTCGTTCGGCTCTTTTATCTTCTGGCGTGCTGCAGTGTGTTTCCACTCTGCAATAGAGTGCGGAAACAGTTACGTTTGTGTGGCAGAGAATGGTTGTTGTTGAAGTGTAGAATCTGTCTCGTGTCGGTGGACTTTCGGAATACTGTAGTTTGCAGCTGTGCAGTGGTACACCGGCGCACAAGCACGTCAAGCAAGGTCAATTGGTTGTTTGTTTCTGCTCCCATCATAAATTGGATATTCGGATCAACCGAGTTCAGTAGTTCCCTTAGGTGCTCAATATCAGTTGCTTTGACGACGGCGAAGATGTCATCGACATAGCAAACCCAAAACGTAGGTTGATACTTGGAGAACACCAAGTGTTCTATCCGTTGAAAAACTACTTCAGCGATTAGGCCTGATAGAGGGGAGCCCATAGGAGTGCCTTTTATTTGTTTGTACATTTGTCCACCAAAGGTGAAAAAGGTCTTGAGGCAGTATCGCAGAATCTCGAGCAGATGTTCAGACTTCAGGGGCTTGTCCCTCTCCTCATAGCGCTCTGCCAGTAGTTGGTCCGCAGCGTATACCGCTAGTTGCTGTGTAATGAAGGTGAAGAGCAAAACGACATCAAAGGATACCATGGATTCGTATGGCTCTAACTTTTCAAGGTCTTTCATTTAACTGAAGTGAGTGGTTCTTATTTGAGTGACCAGGTGTCGTCATAGATTCCCGGTGCGAATTCGTAATTAAATACCCGTAGAATGTTTTAAACCCTACAAAAATTCTCCACGTATTTCACACTGGCCTACGTTTTGCAATTCAATACTTTAAGTACTTCAGAGTGCAGAACAAGGCCTAAATTTTTATACAACGCCCAAGAAAATTTCAGTTACTCTTTCTTTTTCTTATTCTGAAAGGCAAAAAGGAAATGCAATCGCTAAAGAAGTTTGATCCATCTCTGTCAAGCGACCCTTCACATCCAGTCTGGAAAATCTTTTCGGAAGACGGCAGTCTTTTTCCATTGTGAACGTCGATTCTGCCCTAAATGCTTTCCTTCGATAAACTTTATGCTGGTCTACCATCATTTCCAGCACCACCATAAGTGCATTTGGAATCCAAAACCCTCAATTTTCGGCGGTTTAAAAATATGATTTTGGAAGGCGTTTCTAACCGGTGTCAGAAGAATTCTGTTCCTTTTGAAACTAAAAAACCCAATAACATAGCATTTCACCTGTCATTTCTTCCTTCTGGATCGAAAACGACATCAACTGAAATGACATGCATAAGTAGGTTTTCCACTAATCGGCAGTTCAGTGCTTGGAAATGTTCTGCATACTTAAGTGGATTAGTAGTCTATCAGTTTGCAGGTAGATGGTTCACGGATTGTAGTGAAAATCGTTTGGTGATTTACGCTACACTCGATGTCGAGATTGTGTGTAGAGCAGCATTGGCAGAAGCCAGAACTGATAGTGCCGCGAAAATCTCGGATGAAAGTTTGGTCTCCCTCAAGCCTATCTACTTTCAGTTTAAACTGTCCCAATTCTTGCTAAATTGGTAGGATGTTGAACAATGGCGCGCACACATGACAAACATGTTACAACAGTCTCTGGGAATGTTATAGTGTGCTTGATGACGGTACACCAAGGCACGACCCGAAGCGCATTACCTTTCGAGGATTTCGACAGCGCTGGTCGACGAAATGGTCGTCTACACAAAAAGGAGACTTATCTTTCGTGCCCGTAGGGCATAGTGCGCACTCTTGAGGTGTGCCATCATTGTCCTGAATGCTCATTTTCATCGTTAGTTGCTGCAGTAAGTTAGGGTCACGCACAACGCCAACGACCGCATATGTTATTGACTTTCGAATTAAAAATACAATAAGCCCCTTTTTGTAAAACACGTAACGTCACACAGCAGCTACCCGGGTACCCTTCCATATGTCAACACCATCAGGGTGGCACTGTCGCGTGTTTTATACTTGCATCTGTGAAAGAGCCACAATTAATACTCTCTGTCACATGCCTCAGTTTGCCTCAGATAAGAGGGGGAGGAGAAAGACATTCTTACTACTACTACTACTACTACTACTACTACTACTACTACTACTACTACTACTACTACTACTACTACTACTACTACTACTACTACTACTACTACTACTACTACAACTACAACTACTACTACTACCACTACTGCTACTACTTCTCAACCATTCGCAGCGTTCCCATCTGAATCGGTTTTTGCAAATTTAGAAGGGGAGAAGGTTTCGGGCTGGCCGTAATTCATAGGAATGATTTGCATAATAGTCGCATGAAAGAATGGGTGAGGCTTGGTTTTACGCCCCACTTAGTTGATAACATATGCTCCGCCTTCTAAATCCATATCAGTTCATATTACTTAACTTAGTCACTCGTTGAATTAGGAAGTTGAAGCGAACGCGAGCAGAGCTCAAAGCATGCTCAGGCAATCGTGTGTAAATTGACATCTGAAGTGGCCGCGGTTGGCGTATAAGTACTCTTACCCCCGTGAAAAAGTTAATCACTGGATTAAAGTAGTAAGGAATATGCAAATACGTGATAGTTGTAAAGTCAGCATATTCGCATTCGCCAATTTTTCTCAAGTGGGGCCGCAGAATCAAAGCTCACAAATGATGCCATTATTTACTCAAGCCGTAAGAGGCAAAGTTCAGGTACTGCGATAACACTGACAATCGACAGAGTTAAAGAACGATTAGTGCAATGCCACGTGGTACTGAAGCAGAAAAATGGAATTTTCAAGGAAAATTCAAAAACAACATAATATATAAGAAACGGCATGCCCTAGTTGACATCATCCTAAGGAAGGTGCTGGAATTTATCAGAAAACCACGCATTCAGTTTCAAAGGTGCTTTGGAGAACCTTTTGGGCAAGAATCAGACGCTCATAGGAGTACAATAGTAAACGTCCAATACAAATCTGCTAGTATGATTCTCACGTCTTGTCGTACTATTACAAACGTTTGGATTCAGTCAGTATCAGTCAGTATATTTGGAGTAAACGACAGAAGCCCTGAAAACTCCATTTAGAGGGTACAGATATAAGGGGAAATAGGTAAATTACAAAGCTTGTAGTTTTAGTAAGGAGAATTCATAAATCTAATAATGTAACATAAAGGCGAAAGGGGTATTATAATCGCGAAATAATTGCGAAAAACTCAGTTCACCGCATTCGGAGTGTGAAAATTTCAATATGGGCTAAGTTTGGAACAGAAAATAGGATCTGTTGAAGTCTTGTTAGTAGTATATTTATAGTCATTTCAGTAATCCGTTAAATCATGCTTCGGCAGTTCGGGTTGCCTTTCAGCAGGTAAGCATCCAGTTGTCTCTTGAACACGTTCACGGTAGGGGAATTAACAACAAACTCCGGCAAAGAGTTCCATTGGCGAATGACCCTCAGTGAGAAAAACGAGGAGCGTTGATTTGTGTGACACAGTTCTCTTTTAAGCTGGTAATCCTGTCGTCTGAGATTGGACTTGGGTGCCATTTTAAAAAACGTTTCCCAGTCGACATCCAGATTAAGTCCTTTTACCAACTGGAACGTTGCTATGAGGTCACCTCTGTCCTGCCTGTAGTGGAGGGGATAGAAGTTCAAGGCCGTCAGACGCTGCTCGTACGTGAAGTTTTTGAGGCCATGAACAGCCTTTGTAGCACGCCGTTGTACACCTTCAAGGATATCCATATCCTTCCGAAGCCACGGCCGCCAAGCCTGTATCGCATATTCCAGGTGCGGCCGCACGAATGTCCCGTATACTTTGCTAAAAACATCTTTATTCAAGTGTATAAACGTTCTGAGTATCGCGCTCATAACGGACATTGCTCGCGCAGCGACTTTAGAACACTGCGTGGTGACGCAAAGTAAAGTTATCGGTTAGAAGGTGTGTCCGTGAGCTGCTTACAAGTAAATTCCGGGAGAATTTTCCGAATTCTCCTTAAATGCAACATCACTTGTCTCATTAGCGACGGAATATATGCTTCGGCGCATTTTGAAAACACACTAGTAGGAAGTGCATGGGCTTTCGTCAGTAGCCGGTATTGCTTAATCATGTCTTGAGATGCAGGGCAATTTGGGGAAAATCTCTGTTTCATATTTCGGCTTTTGATTCGATTGTACTCTAAGCACTCCTTTAAAATATTTGCTGTGCGTCGGTGAGGAGTAATATGATTATGCTGATTATGAAACCCCCAAAATCCTATCCTCCTGTTCGGAGTCTGTCAACAAAGAAGCCAAAATAGTAGCTGTGCTTCCAAACGGGCCGCGTGGGAGATGCGCTGGACTAACACGGGGACCCTATCGGATTCTGGCAGGCGTTGTCTGATTACGCACCATAAGAAATGCCAACATTTCAGTATTCGGTGGCAGGCTCGGTTGCTGGCAGACGTCGCGCACACTGAGACCCCTGCAGTCCCCTATTGTTGTTGTTGGCCAAAAACCTATTCATGTTGTGTGTGGCCCAGGGGGTGTGGCATGAAGCAGCAGGGTGCGAGCTCGACCGCGCCATCCACGTGTGCCCTCCTGGTGCTCTTGAATTTGTTTTGACACCGGATCCAGGTGGGGGAGACGAGAGTGCGGTAGATACTATGCAAGTCTACTATCAGTATAAACTAACTCATACGACGGTCGAACTCTCGAAAATGTTAGAAAAGTATTAACAACGAAACTTCCTAGACGAATGTCTGCGCAGAAGCCTCAGGTCAGTGTCACCAGTTCATAAGCGAAAAATCGTCTTGATTGTTAGTGCAGTTTCTTAACTGGCGCAGCCATATTGCTCCTCCTTCGTAAGCATGGCTTCCTCAAGACCCCATAAAAAAGTTGAAAAAATGCGGAGTATTTAGGGTACCGAAGTCTTTCTAGCAGACTCCACCAGGGCTTTCAGCAGAATTAAGAATTGACTACTAATCAAAGGGCTTTAGAGCCATTGTTTAACTGTGGTAGTGGCTAGTCTGAACGGGA